CCGCGTCGGCCATTCTGCGCGTATGCCGCTGCTGCAGCTGCGCGCCCACTGCCGCCCCTACCAGCGCGGCCGCGAGCACGGCGCACAGCACGTCCGCGCCGTTCGCGAACAGGCCCTGGCCGAGTCTTGCTGACCACCGCGCCGCCTTGAGAGCTTCGCCGCCGAGAGCCGCGGCGCGGCCATGAAGGCTGTGCAGGTATGCCCTGCCCGCCTCGGCCATGCGCGACTGTAGTACGGCTGACCTCCACGGCGCGAGCGCCCGTGCCCCCGCGACCGCCGCCTCGGCCGCCGCGGCCGCCGCCGCTCCGCCGAGCGATGCTGCGGCGTCGATGGCGTCGGCGACGGCGAGCCAAAGAATGCACGACGCACCGCCGCAAGCCGTGCCGCCGCAAGCCACGAGCGGGGCCGCAGCAAGACCGCCGCCCGTGAGAGCTGCCTCGGCGATGCTGCGGTACCAGCCAACCACTGCAGAGCCGCGCGTAGTGAAGCAGAGGAAGGGGGTAGCGACCCAGCCGTCACCCTCCTCTTCGCCCCGCTCGCTGCCGCCGCCGCCGCCCTCGCCGCCGCCGCCCTCGCCGCCGCCCTGCACCAGAGCCGCCACCCACTCGCTTGCACGCCTCCAACCGTCGGAGAGCATCCCCGCCGCCCTCCATCCGGCGGCCCCTTCCCCAGACCCCGGCCGCGCCCGCCACGCCAGCGCTTGGTTTGGCCACGCGCCGGCGGCTGCGGTGCCCGCGCCGACAGCGCCTCGGAGCCAGCCTTCCGTGCTGAGCGAGTGAGGCCCAAGCACCCACTCCCCGGCCTAGTTGTGATCACTGATCTCATCCATCACAGTCATCAGCTAACAGTGAGTAAACCAGCCCGAGCACCCTCTCCTCCGCGCCGCTCCCGACCTCGTGCGCCGCCGCGGGCTGCGCGGGCGCAAACCAGAGCCTCCGGTCGCACGGCGTTGCGCCGCATCGCCGCGACTCAAAGGTCGGCCAGCCGTTGACGAGCAGATCGCGGCGCAAGACGTACTCGCCAAGCCATCCAGCCAGCCACGCTGCCTCGGCGGGCGCGTGCCTGGTCATCACAGTCGCGGCGCGTGAACAAGACGCTGTTCGCTGCCGCGCTTCCGTCGGCGGGTGTGTGCACCCCGAGAGGTAGACGGAGGCCGGCGGAGGGGCGACAAACCGGAGGCGGGAGGAACGCCGCCAGGTGCCGGGACCTGTGAGAGGGAGCGGCGTCACACTCAGGTCGAGGTGGCGCTTGCGGTTCCGCAAGTAGAGGAGTGAGTTGTGCGGGACCTTCGACGGCGCGCCAGCCGCTGCTCACGAGGTCTGGCGACGCGGCGCCGCCATCGTCGGCCGCGATCACAGCCTCGCCCTGCGCTACATCGGCGGGATGGCCCACGTGCCAGAGGAAGCCGCCGCCGTGCGCCGCCTTCTGCCGCCATACGACGCGCGAGTCGTCGCCCGACTTGGAGTAGTAAGGTGCGCCGTTGTGCATTTTTGTGCGGCGGTACACGCCCGCCCACTCTGCAGTCCACTCAGCGTGCGATCCCGCCAACAAGATCTCCTCCGCTGCGGCGGGAGGCTCTGCCGGCGGCGTGGAGGGAGGCTCCGCTGGCGTCGGCGGCCGGTGAGGGCCCGCGGCGATGAGGAAAGCGAACGCAGCCACCCCAATTATAGCAGTGCTGGCGATCGAAATCGGAGGGAGAAATGGACCGCCGAGTGGGCGCCTGGCCATGACGGAAAAGCTCGCATGCGCGCCGCCATACAGAGAAGAATTCTTCGGCGCGCTGGCGTAGCCGATTGTATTCGTAGCCCTTGCATTCGTGCAAGGTGCTCCCCGATCACACCGACGGCGCGGTATGTACACCGCAGTCATCCCCTCTGATTCTCGCGTGTTCATGGCGTAGTATATAGGCGCACAAGCGAAGGACGGCGATTACGCTGACTACGAGCCTCCGACGAGGTGCTGATGGCTGCACGGGCAGCTTCGTCAGGAGAAAACAAGGGCGAATCTCTCGGGCCCGTCCACGCGCTGCCAGTGAGGTCACAAGACGTCCAACTGGCGCCTGTGAGCACAACATACCCGGTCGCATTCCACCAATTGCGCTGAGAGCAGTGTAGGAAGCGGGCCAGTCGCGGCTGCTGGTCCCGGTCGCCTCTCGAGAGCTCTGACATGTACTCGGACAGAACCTGGTCGGCCGTGCCGCCCCCCCTCCGTCGCGCAGCCATCTCGACATGCCTCGAGTTCAAGTGCAGCACACGCGCGCCAGGGAGCGGCCTCGATATGTTGCTCATGAGCTGCTGGCGCAGCTCCAGGTAGCCCTGGCCAATGTCCACGAGCGAAAGGTTGGGCAGTCCAAAGCCATTGCGTGCTGACGCTAGGAGGTGGCCAAAGAAGATGTCGACCAGAAGGCGCTTCGGCGGCTGTGGTTGCTTGAAGAGCGCTCGTGCGTGCTTCTGCTCTCTGGCCATGTCGTTGTCGGCGCCAGCAAGCGCAGCGGCCACAGAGGCCGACCACACCATCAGTGGGCCTCGCAGGAATGGAAACGGCGGTGAGAAGCTTCGCTTGTGGCGCTGCAGCTGAGCAATCATGCGCGCCTCGCCACGCGCGCGCACACGAACCCCCGCATCGAGGCGCCCCGGCCAGACATCCTCATTCACGCCCGTTGCGTGCCGCCAGGCGAAGGTGCTGCCGAAGGCATCCCTTCCCCAGCAGGCATTAGCATGCCCAGTATCCCTCATGTAACAGCTCCATTCAAAGCGGCCGTACACAACGTCCTTCACGTCCAAGTGATGCAGGAAGCTCAAGTGGGGGGTCAGCTGCCGCTGGCTCGGGACCGCTGAGCGACAGGGGGGTGTAGCTACCCCCCCCCACCTCCACCTGGTCAGACCGTCGACCTAGAGGGGGGTCCCCAGGTGCGTGGGGGGGGGTGTTTGAAGATGACGCGCATATTAAAGGATTCGTGTGAAGAAACGCAAACAAGACAAACGGTACTATGGTCACCAGTACAAACGAAAATTCGACTTTGAGGGATCATATCTCAAAAGGCTGGGTGAGAGCATAGCATTATTGTTGCATATTAGGCCACATAAGGTCAAACTTGACCCCAGAAGCATCAAGAACCCGATGCTCCGGCTCGACTGTATGCCGGCACACTGCCTCCTCGCGCACGCTGCTCGCAGGCCGTTGCGGCCCGTGGTGCACCAGAGAGAGAGGTCGACGCGTTGCCCCCGCCGGCGACCCCGCGCGGCTCAGGCCAGCCAGAAGGTGTGTGGTGACGGCACCGTGGCAGGAGTGCGGAGAAGAGCTCGCCGAACGCGAGCAGCAGATGGCCCCAAAGTGTGCCAGCGCGAGAGCCTCGCGAGCGGGCGCAGAAGGAGCTCGCCGTGACACGATGCCGGGCGGTGGTGGTGCTCTGGCGACTGTGCACAGTGGGCAAAGTCAGGCTGCAACAGGGCAGCACGTTGGTAGTGCCCTGCTGCAGCCTGGCCTGACATGCACAGAGGGCGAACAGAGGCGGTACTATCGTCCGGCGCTCGTCACCGAATCTGGGCGAACTTCGACCGCCGCCACAGCTCACCACGAGCACGCAGCGACAAAATGTTGACTGTATGGAAGTCGAGGCTGGTCCATAGGAAGAGGCTGCCGTGCGAGCCGGCAGCAGGCTGGCTCGCGGGCGCGTCGTGGACTGCCGCGGCGACTTTCGGTGTCTTTCTTGATAGTGCCTCGCCACCCTCGCAGGAGTCGCTTAGGCGGCTCCCGTGGTGTACAATCGGAATTCTCGCTCGACCACCACCGCGGTGGCGACAAGAGCGCCTTTTCAACACGCTGCGATGGCGGTGTGCAGCACCAGCCGTCACGGCTTCCTGCGCCGCGTCGAGGCTCGCCGAGCGGGCACGTAGGTCGACTCGACACGACACGGCCCCAAACATCCCACGTCGCGCTCGCGTTCTGCCAGCTCTCTCCCCGCAGTCGCTGCTGCTCACGCTCTCGCCGCGCGTCTCCTGTGCTGCACGCCCACACGTGCGCCGCCCGTCCGCCGCGCGGGAGCGAAGCGCTCTTTGGTGGCGACACGAGCTGCTGTGCCATCGACTCTCGGCAGCCAAGGGATTCTGCCAAAGACATACTCCGCCTTTCCCTGACACGCCGTCAAACCAAAATGGCAAGGCTACCCTCGCCTCGCCGGCAAGAAGACTGCCGGAGACGTGTGCGCATCGCACGGTGGCTTATATGTGCCCAGCTTCCGAGCGTCAGCAGCCTGTGAGATTTCGCAGCTCGATCAGCGCTCCTCACACACCAGCCGACACACCGGTCACCGCTCACAGAGCCGACACGCCGGCGCATCTCATCTCTATGTGGACGTGCAGCGCGCAGCGCAAGCGCTCTCAAGCGAAGGAGAAAACTAAAGATGCTCCTCATTAGATTTCAGTTATTTTTTGCCTCCACTACGGTAGGACGACGATACTGTGCGCACTGCCCGAGGCGGAAAAAACAGCCACGGCCTCAACTGCCGGACGGGCGCGTATTTGCAGGCGCGTTGTGTGTCGTGAAACGCCCGTCCCTGGAAACGTTCAGAGGAAGGACGACCGGTCGCCGTGCGCCTTGCATCCCACCGACTCATCGTAATCGTGCGTCAGCTCATCGTCGCCCGCTTCGATTAATGCGCGCGTACACTATGTTGCGAACGGGCTCGGGCTGGTAGAGCGAGCCGAGACGCGATGCACGTTGCACAGCCGCGCGTGCGAGAAATACGCGTGGCAAATCTCGGGAACTTGCACCGCATACACACCGTTGCCCGACAGGCAGCAGGTGCGCACCGGCCGTCGCCGCACCGGCGATCAGCGCTCTGAAGTCGGCGAGCGCTAGCCGCTGGTTGACGAGGTTGGGCCAGCGGTAGGCCCTCAGGCTTTTGGCTCGCCACCGAGCAATGTGTCGCCGAGCGATGCGCCGCCGAGCGAAGAGAATGGCGCCAGACAGACATAAGCTCGGTCTGAGGTTCCGCCTAGATGCACGACGTCAGCGGCGCGCCGGGCAAACGTCTCGTGACAAATCATTTCCCTGCGCCACCAAAGAGCGCTTCGCTCCCGCGCGGCGGACGGGCGGCGCACGTGTGGGCGTGCAGCACAGGAGACGCGCGGCGAGAGCGTGAGCAGCAGCGACTGCGGGGAGAGAGCTGGCAGAACGCGAGCGCGACGTGGGATGTTTGGGGCCGTGCCGTGTCGAGTCGACCTACGATCGCGGCGAAGATCACGCAGGAGGAGAAGGACTCGACGCGCGCGACGGTCCGCCCCGCCGCCCGCGCCGCGCCGCCCGCCCGCGCCGCCCGCCCGCCGCCCGCCCGCGCCGCCCGCCGCCGACGGCGCCCACCGCCCGCTGACGCCCCGATCCGCCGTTCCTTCCCTTGTCAGGTCGACGAGGACCGGAAGCACGCGAGATCGAGGCGGCGATTGTGCGCATCATGAAGACGCGCAAGACGCTCGACCACCAGAAGCTCGTGCTCGAGGCGTCGACGCAGCTGATGCGCCACTTCAAGCCCGACCCGAGGCAGATCAAGAAGCGCATCGAGGACCTCATCGCCCGCGAGTACCTCGAGCGCGACGCCTCGAACTCCACCGTCTACAAGTACCTGGCCTGAGCTTTTAGCCAGTAGCTTGTAAAAGTACGTCGTGCGAAATCACTCCTACTAACTCCCGCACGCATCCTCACTTAGCACGTCGGTCACGTGAGGTCGTCGGGGTCGAGCTCGTCCTCGGGCGCGACCTCGCCGAAGTCGCCCGTGCCCGCGCCGCCCGCGGCGGCGGCGGCGGCGGCGACGCCGGGCTCGGCGGCGGCGGCGCCGCCGAGCATCCCCATCGGCACGGCGGCCGACTTGAGGGTGAGTGCCTTCGCGGCGCGGACGATCTGGTTCTCGAGGAAGGTGAACGTCTGGTCGGTGTTGACACACGCGACGAGCGTCTCCTCCGACTGGCCCGCGAACGCCGCGAGCAGCACGTCGGCGGCGTCGGCCTCGTCGGAGCCGGCGAAGCCGTCGCCGCGCCGCAGTCGGCGGGCGGCGCGAGCCCGTCGCCCGCCGCGCGCTTCTCGCGGCCGCAGTCGGCGGCGCTCTCCCGCGGGCCGGCGGGCCGGCCGCAGTCGGCGGCGCCGAGCCACCGCCCCGCGCCGTCGCGGCCGACGTCGGCCGCCGCCGCTCGCCCTGCCATCTCGCGGCCGCAGTCGGCCCCCGTCGACCGCAACGGCGGCGCCGCCGGCGGGTTTGCGATGAAGCCCCACGTGATGCTCTCTCGGTGCATCAACACGTGCGACCACCTCGCGGCGGGCGAGGCGTGGGCGGCGGAGGCGCCGGCGGGCGAGCGCGCCGCGCGCGCCGTCGAATTCGAGAAGCTGCGCTCATCGCTGCAGGCGCGCGCCCGAGCGCCGCTCCCATGACCCACCCCACCTACCGCCACACCGCCCGTCCGCTCACCCCTCCCCTCCTCCGCAGGCGATGCGAGCGACGGTGATCCCCGCGCAGCAACACGCAAACATCCTCGAGCTGCAGCGGCTGCTCGACACGGAGCGACGCGCCGCCGAGGGCGCGCGCTACGAGCAGCAGCGCGCCGTCGCTGCGATGGTCGCCGCGCAGCAACAGCTCGCCGCGCAGTACGAGAAGGCGGCGGCCGCCGCCGCCGCCGGCGGCGCGACGCCGATCGGCGCTCAGACGACGGCGGCGTACGGCGTGCTCACCGGCGGCGCGCCGCAGCTGACGAAGCGGCCGAGCTCGGCGGCGGCGGGGCACAAGGTGACGACGATCGCGCTCCAAAACAAGGCGGACCGCGAGCGCGCGCGCGCCGACGCCGCGGAGCTCGCGCTCGTCGCCGCCGAGAAGCGGATGCGGAAGCAGGTGGAGTTCGAAGCGGCGCGCGCCGACCACGCGGAGGCGGCGCTCGCGAAAGCGTCGGAGCGCATCGACCGCCAGCGCCGCTCGATTGTCTCGGCGAACGGGATGCTCGACGCCCGCGGCGGCGGCGGCGCGCGGGCCGCCGACTCGGCGGCGCTCCTCGACGCGCACACGCGGCTCGAGGCCGAGGGGCGGCGCGCGGCGGCGGCGGAGGCGGCGCTCGCGAAGGCGAAGGAGGAGATCGCGTTGTTGCAAGGGGAGGCGGAGGAGGACGCGCGGGCGCTCCACCAGGGCGGCCGCGCGGGGAGCCCGGGCGCCGACTCCTTCTCGTCGGAGGGCGTGCGGCGGATGTCGAGCCACGAGGGCGGGCACTCGATGCGCGAGGCATCCTTCCACCGCGGGAGCAGCGGGTATGGATCGGGCGCGCTGCGCGCGCCCTCCTTCCACGGCGGGCGCGGGCGCACGACGTCCTCCGACCTGCGCACGCGCGTCGACGGCGCGCGCGACGACGACGACGACGGCGACGAGCTCGCCGCCGCCGACGCCGCCGCCGCCGCCGCCGCGCGCCGCCGGCGGACGGTGTCGGGCACGTCGGTCGGCGGCGACGACGCGGCGGCGGCGGCGGCGGCGGAGCAGCGCAAGAAGCTGCAGGACGAGGTGGGCCGGCTGCAGAAGGAGCTCGCCGAGCTCCGCCGCGTCGTCAAGGCGCTGCGCGACGAGAACTCGGACCTGAAGGAGGAGGCGAAAAAGAAGGAGGCGGCGGCGGCGGCGGCGGCGGCGGCCGAGCGGCGGCGGCGGCGGCCGAGCCGGCGGTGGCGGCGCCGACGGCGCGGCCGGCGAGCGCGCGGCCGAAGAAGGCGGCGGCGCGGGAGTGGGTGCGCGTGCAGATTGTGCGCGTGGATGGCCCGAGTACCGCAGCACGCCGCGGAAAAAGTTCGCACCCCTCGACCCCTCGACCCCTCCACCCTCCGAGGGTCGAGGGGTCGAGGCCCCCTCGACCCCTCCGGAGGGGGCCTCCGAGGGGTCGAGGCCCCCCTCGACCCCTCGACCCCCTCGACCCCTCGGCCTGTTTCCCGGCCATTCCACGTCGCTCACGAACACGATACGCGACCAGTGACACGCGAGAAAAATATTGTCGCCGCGTAAGCGCCCCTTGTTCGCGGCCTTGAGTTCTAGCCGCAGTGCGCAGAACCACAACCGCGGACATCCGTCCAGATCGTGCGCTGCCTCCCACCGCGTGCGGCCCAGTTCAGACACCCACCCGCACTCGCCTCCGGCTAGGGCCGCAGCCCAAATGTCGCGCGACCGCCACCAACCGTGAGCGCGACTGTGCATCGGCCACGAATGGAGCGCCACCGCGCATTCATCTCCACGCCTCCCCTCTAGGTATCTGAAACGCCTTCGGGCACCCGCGCGGCGCGAGGCAACCACAAGATCCGCGACAGATCCGATTCTGACCCGACACACTCCTAGGACACGCCCGAGACACACTCGAGACCCGACCGCATGTCCGAGATACGTCCGCTCCCCGCCAGAGTCCAGAGTGTGGCTCGCATGGAAGCATAGTTCTAGAAGCAAAGTGTGGTGCGTCCCCGTCGTGTTCGACGGCCTCCTCCCTTCCCTCCGCCCCTTCCTTCCCTCCTCGCAGCGATACCTCCAGCACCATCCCATAGTGCCCCGCTGCCGTCCAATCTGCCGCGCCGCCTGCCGCGGATGGCTCGGCCGGCACCGCCACCGTCGGCGGCCACCTCCCGCCCGCCGCCCTGGCCACTGCCACTCGCGCCGCCGTTTCGCCCAAAGCTGCCGCCGACACCTCCCGTCCGCCGCCGCTGCCGTCTCCAGGCATCCGGCCCCGCCCACGCGACTTGCCTCGCCGCCGCCGCCGCCGCCGTCCTCCCCACCGTCCTCCCCACCGCTCTCACTGCCACCGACGCGCCGCTCGCCGCTCCTGCCTCTGCCCTCGCCGAGCCGTCGCCACCGCCCTTCTCGCCGCCTGCACCGTGCCGCCTTGGCTGCCGCCTTTTCCGTGGCCCTCGCTGCCGCCACCGCCGCCGCCGCCGCCGCCGCGGCCACCGCTACCGCCGCCTCCCTGCTCGCCGCCCCCTCCGACACCGTCACCCACCCTCCTCCTACCGTCCCTGCCGGCCGCCTCCGTTCTCGCCCCACCTCCCACACCACCGACCTCTCCGCGCCCCCACCGCCCCGCGCTCCCATGCACCACGACCCGCCAATGGCGCCCCCCCCCCCCCCCCCTCCCCCTTCCCTCCCCACCCACCCACCCAGCGCCCCAGGCTCTTCGTAGCTCCACTCCAGGCGCCGCCGCCCGAACCGCTGCTGCCCCCGCGGCCACCGGCCGCGGCGGCGCGCGGCGCGTGGCGGGCAAGCTGCTGCCGGGCGGCGCTTCTGGTCATGGTTTTAGTGGATGTGCCGCGTAGGTTGCCCTTCGGCCCGCTTCTTGTGCGTGCGGCCGTGGCATGCGAGAAGGCGGCGCGGTACGGCTGGCTGGGGCGGGTGAAGCCCCTGGGGGCGGGAGCTGGCGGCATCACCAGCGGTGAAGCCCCCGAGGCGGGTGTGCGTGGCGGCATCCCGTAGTTGGCTGACGTTCCCTGGCCGTCAATGGCCTCTCTCTGTGCGAGCCTCGTCCAGTAGGTAAAATCGTCCTCAGCATCGTCGCACTCACTATCCTCAAAGGCATCACTCCAGTCTCCTGCGTCACCTGTTGCAGGCGCTTTCCCATCCCGCATTGCGGCTGTAAGCGTGGTGAGGCCCAGAAGGCACAGCGTCGCCGGCCAGAGCATACGTGCAACCATCAGGTGGCGGCCAAGAGCTACAGGCGAGAGGAGAGCTGCAGCCCACGACTGCAACCAGATGGGCGGGCGGGCGACGAGGCCGAATTTCGCCCGCCCACTATCTATCAGTAAACCTCGTCCAACCGTGAAACCCCCGGCGTTTTCGTGAGCGACGTGGAGCGGAATGGCCGGGAAACAGGCTGAGGGGTCGAGGGGGTCGAGGGGTCGAGGGGGGCCTCGACCCCTCGGAGGCCCCCTCCGGAGGGGTCGAGGGGGCCTCTCGACCCTCGGAGGGTCGAGGGGTCGAGGGGTCGAGGGGTGCGAACTTTTTCCGCGGCGTGCTGCGGTACTACCGCGGGTGGACTGCTGGACTTCGCACGTCGCCAAAAGATGAGCGTCGCCGATGCCGAGCAAGCGGCGCTCGCCGAACTGCTCGCGAGCCCGTTCTTCCCGAATCAGGCCGAGGCGAACCGACACCTTGACCGCGTGCGCGCGGCGCCGGATGGGTTCAAGGACACGGCGGGCGCCGTCGGCAACTTCGCACGCCGGCTGATCGCCCGTGACGAACAGCCGATCGACCCGTTCGGCGGCGGCGGCGGCGGCGGCGACGGGCCGGCGCAAGCTCCGCCGATCCCCGGGCGGACCGTATCGCAGGCGCTCAAGGTCGACGTGGCGATGATCAAGGAGCACGACCACTTTCGAGAGGGCTCGATGAGCAGACAGCAGGTGTACGCGCGGGCGCCATCGGAGCACTACTTCAGCCATCTGCACATCGACCACACGATGTCCGGCTTCACCGCGGGGTCGAAGGAGGAGGGGGCCGTGCGTCAGATCTACAAGGTGATGATGTACTCGTCGAAGCCGTTCCCGTGCATGGAGCTGCCGGAGACGGAAGGCGGCCCACCGGCCGGCGCGCGCGGCCCGTTCTACACGGCGCGCGAGCACGACCACACGCCGCCGTTGGCGCCCGGCGCGCACAAGGAGGTGCTCATCTACGGCGCGACGCAGCTCTCGAAGACGCCGGAGGCGTGCTTCACGGCCTGGTGCGCGACCTTCATCGACGGCTGCCTCGCGGTGCTCGGCGTGCGGAACAAGGGCGGCCGGACCCAGGGCTCGACCGACATGTGGAAGGGCTTCAACGACGTGAACAAGCGCATCAAGGAAGTGTTCGAGCGCGAGGTACAGAAGGGCAACATCGACCTGCCGGCGTCCGACTACAAGAAGTTCCAGATTAAGGCGCGGAAGTCCTCGGATGGCGAATACCTCGAGTTCGACCCGGACACGCGGCTGCTGCGCGAGCCGCAGGTCTTCATCATCTGCATGAACGCCGGGCAGATCAAGAATATGATCGGCACGCAGGCGGCCAGGGGATACAGCAAGGCCGGCGCCCTCGCGGGCTACATCACGATCATGACGGGCGAGACGCAGCACCCGTACCCGCCGAAGTGCAACGACCCGTATGCGCTCCTCGACGACGGCGTCAACCGCCCGGTCGCGCGCATGTACTTCATCCTCGACGAGGACGACCTCAACCGCTCGAACACCGGCAACGTGACGCAGAATCTGCAGTTCGAGGCCCCCGCGTCGCTGCGCAAGCAACTGGACTCGGGCCTCGCGAAGATGAAGATCGCTGGCGTTCGGCGTGCCGCCGCCGAGTCGAGGGCCGCCGCCGCCGCGGCGTCGAGCGCCGCCGCCGGCGGCCCGTCGAACGGTGGCGCGATCGACGAGGAAGAGGAGGAGGAAGAGGAGGAGGATGAGGAGGACGAGGTCGAGCAGGTGGACGACGGCGTCGCAGCTGCGAGCGAAGCTCTCGGCGTCGCCAGGGACGGGATCGAGTTCCTCTCCGAGCTTAGTGATTCGCGGATCCAGGTCGGCACGAACACCACCGGCGTCCGCTCGGCCGTCCGCGGCGTCGTCGCGCTGACGGCGACGCCGGCGGCGTGCGGCCACGACCTGGGCAGCGGCGCGTCGCAGGTGATACATCAGGTCTGCAAGATGGAGCACCCCGCGAACTACGTCGGCTACGAGTTCACGGCGGCGCCGTACGCGCAGCACACGATCAAGCACGAGCCGGTGCCCGACCGCAAGCAGATCAAACAGATGAAGAAGGGGCTGTTCTACGAGAAGGTCCTCAAGACGAACGACTGGTGGAACAACGACCTCGACGAGCCGATGATGCCGTTCTCGATGAACCGCAACGGGACGATCACGGTGAGGAAGGCCGAGCTCGACAGCATACAGGAGGGCAACAACAAGAGCTCGCAGGACATTTTCGACATCGTCGATAGGGCGCACGGGCAGGCCGGCCGGAGGGGTGACAAGGTGCTCGAGTCGGACGGCGTCGGCATTGCGCTGATGCTCGAGTCGATGGCCGAGAAGCCGCTCGCCGAGGAGCAGCGCCAGGGGTACGTCGAGGACGAGCGCCGCGCGCTGATCATCTCCAACTTCACGCGCACCGATGAGCAGAAGCTGAAGCTCGCCCGGCTCATTCTGATGGGCGAGCTCTTGCTCCCGGACGAGGTGAAGCTCCCGGCCAAGTGCTACGAGGACCTCTTTGTGATCGTCTACCACCACGACCGCGTCAAGATCATGTGGCGTGGCGTCTCCGCCGACGCCGACCCGGACGTGTACGAAGCGCCGGCGCACGACCCGCACGAGGTCCTCAACGCGATCCGTCGCGGCTCGCAGGACCTCTTCAACGCGTGCCCGCTGGCGGACGCGAGGAAGGGCACCGCCGCGAACTTCGAGGAAGACGGCGAGCTCAAGTACTTCGACACGCGGCACTGCGACATCACGGAGGTCTACACGGCGCTTCACCTGTACGCGCGCACCAAGCGCATGCACGGCGGACGTCCCTTCAAGCTCAAGACCGTGGTGCTTTCGGGCGAGCTCGGCGGCCGCGGGGTCGCCTACAAGACGGCAGAGCTCGTTGCACACGGCCAATCCTCCGAACCGCTCGTGCCTAAGCACCACGGGTATTTGACCGACATGTTCTACATGTTCGACGCCGTCAAGAACCGCCAGATCACGCAGCACGGCGAGCAGTCGCTCCAGAACCTCGGCCGTCTCTGCGGGCTCACGACGAACGAGTTTCTCTCGAAGATGACGGACGACAAGACGCCGCCGCGCCTGTGGACGTCGCACAGCTGCTACAACGTGATCAAGATCTTCGGCCTCTGCGTCGACCAGTGGGTGCAGGTGATGCAGGTGAAGGCGGCGGACGAGTCGATGAAGGACGCCGTCATCCGCTGCATCAAGGCCGAGCCGGAGCGCTTCGCCGTGCTCCACATGGTGTACGCAAAGCCGACAACCGACAAGAGGTGGGCGAAGAAGGACCTGTGGCTTCGGCAGTCACGCCTGCAGAAGAAGGAGAAGCAAACTACCGAGGGGGTCCTGGCAGCGCCGGCCATGCCGATCGTTGCGCGCGGCCGCGACTTCGGGATCGGCCATGACCCCGACGTGGACGCCGCGGCCGCTATCGACGCCGCGGTTGCTGCCTCCGAGCAGCAGCTTGGGCTGGGCGACGGTCGGCCGCGCCAGCGGCAGCGCGTGCACGACCCGCAGCGTATCGAGCTGCAGGACTGGCTCCGTCGCCTCGAGACGATGCTGAGGGGCGACGACGTGAAGCACACCGTCTCGGACAAGTCGCGCAACGACTATTGGAAGTTCATATACAATTCCATCAGGAACAAGTGGATCAAGTCGGCCGCCGAGATCGGTGCCGAGATCCAATCCGAGTCTTACTCGGGGAAACTCGAGCAGGCCATACGAGTGAGCAACGCCGCTTCGGGCATCCCTCTCCCGAAGAACCCGAAAAAGACCGCAGTAGACACCGTCAGCGCAATCCGCTACGTGATCTCGCACGGCGTTCATCCCGAAGGCGGCGGTAGCTACGTGGCTCCGGCCCGGGGGCGTCGGCCGGCGGCGGCGGCGGCGGCCGCCGGTGGCGACGTCGCGATGGCGTGAGCTCGGCACGCGTAACGCAGCGCCTGCCATTCACTTTCTCTGTACGGCTGTACGTGTACGTGCACTGCCGAGCAGGGAAGTGGGCGAGCGCGCGCGTGGGGAGGGTACAAAGGGCGCTCGGGTAGGGCCGGCAGCGGGGATGGTATTCTCTCTCTTATAAAGCTTTCTTCGTTTCGTGCTCCCGGTACATGCCCACACATCACAAGAGTTCACAACTTCGCCACCTTCAAATCGGGCGGCCCCACGCTCGCCCCCGTCGCCGCGCACTCCGTCCCGCAGCACGGCGTCTCCGAGTTTGGCGACACCGTCCCCGACACCGACTCGGGCGACGCGCCGACCGGCGCGCCCGCGACGACGCGCCCGCCGAAGGCCGCCGCGTGCTCCGACGTGCCCAGCCGCTGCATCTGCCACGCGCGCTTCGAGAGGATCGCGCGCGCGCGGCGGCGGCGGACGACGACGACGGCGGCGATGGTGCAGCTGGCGACGACGAAGAAGACGGCGCAGAGCGCGATCACGTGCTCGGTGACGGAGGCGACAAAGGCGGCGCGCGCGTCGCCGTACTCAGACACGAGCGGATCCTGCGCGGGGATCAGATGGTGCGACGGGTCGAGGCTGCCGCACACGGTGTTGTTGGCGGCGGCCGACGGCTCGGGCGCGCCCGGCGCGAGCAACCAGACGGAGACAATCTTCGTCGCAAACTGCAGCCCGTCGAGCGACGCGGCGAGCGCGACGCCGACGCAGCGCGTCTCGAGGACGGCGGGCGCCGCGACGCTCAGCCGCAGCACGTCGGACGAGGCGGCGGTGAGTGTAAGCGCTTCGGACGGGAGCACCTCCTCGTTGGTGCTCACCGCGTACGCAAACGTCGGCGGCGCCGTCGCGCCGACGAGCGCGACGTCGACGCTGCTGTCGGCGGCGCCGCTGCGCACGTGCACGGTGTCGGCGGCGCCGACGGGGCCGAGCGACTCGGTCGAGGGTGGTGGGCCGAAAACGCGAGTAGGTACGGCCGCGCGGGGCCACGGCGAGCTCATGAACGACAGGTCGGCATAGGTGAACGCGGCTGGCGCCGGCGGCGTGGCGAGCCTCTCGGTGCAGCAGAAGCGTGGCATTTCGCCAGGGGGGCCCATGCCGCCGCCAACCACGCAATAGCCGTCACAGTGATACGCCTGCTCAGCCGCCCACGCTGCGAGCGTGCGTCGCTGGAAGAGAGTGCGGAACGGTGCGGGCATCGCCGCGTGGACGATCGGCGAGGTGTTGAGCGGGTCGGTCAAGACTCGTCAAGACGGAGCAGATGTAATCGCTCGCGCTTGAGCCGACTGGGCGCAGCAGCGGCGTCGGGGAGACGCGGATGAAGTACGTCTTCCACAGTCCCTCGTCGATAGCGGCAGCACGCCAGGTCCGAGGGGTCGAGTTGACCAGGCCCGCGTTGAGAATGAAGCGGGCTATGTCGCGTGCGTCGGGACGGTCATAATACATAAAGCGTGAGTGGAACGCGTAGCGTCCGCTGTCCGATTCGTTTGGTCGTTTTTGGCGTATGCTGGTGACCCAGCACTCGTTTTCTTTCCCTGTCACCTCAAAAGGAAGGGCGCACTCGCGCAGCACACCCAGCCCACTCCGTGGGGCTAGCACGCAACAGACAACGGTGACTACATCAAGAGGGCGAAAGCCTTCATCCGCGCCGTCGCCATCGGAGCCATCGCCTCCCACGCGCCGACTGCCGGGTCGTACCGCTCCACCGAGCTGAGGCGATGGTCGTGGCCACGCCCGCCAGCAGCGTACAGCTTGCCGTCGAGCACGGCCACGGCGTGAGCATACCGCGCCTCCGCCATCGGCGCCACCGCCTCCCACGCGTTCGTCACGGGGTCGTACCGCTCCACCGAGCTGATGAGGCGATGGTGGCCGCCGTCGTAGTTCTGGCCTCCCATGGCGTACAGCTTGCCGTCGAGCACCGCCACGGCGTGATCAAACCGTTCCTCCCCCATTGGCGCCACCGCCTCCCACGCATTGGCAACCGGGTCGTACCGCTCCACCGAGCTGAGGAAGCCGTCGTCTTCGTTCAAGCCGCCCACCGCGTACAGCTTGCCGTCCAACACCGCCACACCATGGTCGCTCCGCGCCTCCGCCATCGGAGCCACCGCCTCCCACGCGCCCACTGCCGGGTCGTACCGCTCCACCGAGCTGAGGGGGCCGTCGTCGTCGCCCTTGTAGCCTCCCAGAGCGTACAGCTTGCCGTCGAGCACCGCCATGCCGTGAGAATGCCGCGCCTCTGCCATCGGCGCCACTGCTTCCCACGCTTTCGCTGCCGGATCGTACCGCTCGACCGAGCTGAGGAAGCCATTGCTGTACCCGCCCACAGCATACAGCTTGCCGTCGAGCACCTCCATGCCGACATCCCTTCGTGCCGTCGGCATCGGCGCCACAGCCTCCTCCTCCCACTCATTCGTTGACGGGTCGTACCGCTCCAGCGAGTTGAGGCGCTCGCCACCGCGTTGGCCGCCGATCACGAGCACGCGCGGCCTCTTGCGCTTCTTCAGCGTCTCCTTCCAGCCGCGGCGCCACGCGCGGCACGTCCCCTTGACGGCGTGCTCCGTGGTCGGCAGCTGGGCGAGGATGTGCGGGGCGAGGTCCGGCGAGAGGAGGACCTCGGAGAGCACCCACTCGGGCTGCTCCACGAGCCGAGCGGCGTGCTCCTCCGCCACGCGCAGCGCGGCGTCGCTCGCGCCCGCCTGCGCCTCGATGATGGCGCACAGCTGCTCGTGCGTGCGTGTGTGTGTGTGTGTGTGTGTGTGTGTGTGTGTGTGTGTGTGTGTGTGTGTGTGTGTGTGTGTGTCACTCACGCCCCCAACCGATGGCCTGCTGACGGGGTTTGCGATGAGGAGCGATCCGAACGTGGTATTCGGGTGATTAGATCACCACCGCCGAAGGAAGCGCAAGCGCTTGGAGCAAGGGAACTGCCACGTATGGGTCCCAGACTAGCACCCCACCTCGCGGGCCGATGTTCTGGCCCAGCGAGGCTGCTGCGGAGCACTCGGGGCCGATGTTCTGGCCCAGCGAGGCCGCTGCGGGGCTTTTTGAGAACCCACCGCACTGGCCCTTCTCCTGTAGATATTTTCCCAAAATATGGGCAAAAACAGGGGCTCCATGGCTCAGACTGGACTCCTCTTGGTCCCTTCTGATGCCCTAGGCCACACCTGGGCCTTACCTGGGGCTCTGGGGGGCGGGCAGGGTTGCCCCAGGGAAGAATTCTTGTTGCGATACTCCATCGACCTTGCCGCAGTTTCTCTCTCCGCTCCAGCCATTCTACAGCCACACCAGCCATGAGCATCGCATCGCTCCTGGCGGTCGCCACGATTGCATACACCAGCTCGGATCTCGAGAGCGGCTCGGACCTGTACGTGAGCACGCCGCACGGCCTTTGGCTGAAGAAGTGCGTGCACGCCATCCCGGAAAACGCACGCGTGCATGAGCACGCAGACGGATTGATGGTGCATCTCTTGGAGTCGGGATCGGCGTACCTCATTTCACACGACAAGGAGTGCGAGGCCGAGGCCGAGGGGATGGCTCGGCAGCGGCGAGAGACGAACCAGTGGCAGGACGACACCGGCTTCCGCCACGAAGGCCTTTTGAACTTCACCGCAATTTACACCGCGCCTGAGGAGTACCCACCCGACGAGGGACAGCTGCTGTACTACTTCATTGGCCTCGAAAACTCGCACGGGCCACTCACGATCGTGCAGCCGGTGGTCCGGTCGACAAGACTGGCCATCACCCCGACGGGTGGTCCATGGCGCCTTGGAATTGCTGCCCGAAGGGTCAGTCGCTCCACGGGAAGACCGTGCCGACCACGCCGGGCGTGCCCATCAACACGTGTCTCCTCGTCTGCATGTATCGATCCGTGACCCCCGACGCCGGGTCCGAGCGAGTGTCTAACAACACGTGCTCAATCGAGCTGTTGAGGCCGGCCAGCTCGGGAATCACGGATCCGTCGCCCTTGCGCGCATGCTCCTTAGGCCGTTTGTGTTACCTCTCAATTGCTCTAGTTCATCTCCTTTACGATACGGCGGAATTGCTCTCAGTGAGTTACGTATGCGCCGCCACTTGTGCACATCAACACATCTACACGACCGCGGACGGAAAAGTCGAGATCGGGATGGAGCGCCTGGCCGAGGGCCCTCCCGCTAAGTCGTCGTTCACGGTACCGCTCCTGAAGCGTGACTGGACGTACGCTGTCGCCACGCTGGAGACGTACAAACAGAAAGATTGCGCCTCGACGACGAGCCGCCCGTTCCACTTCACCGACATGAAGCTGTCGGATTCCGGGGGGCCGGTCACCCCAAAGTGGTTTGCCGGCATGAAGCAGACGGCGTGCAAGGGGGGAGCAACGATTCATGGGCCGTCATCGGTCGACCTCTACGGCGCCAAGATGCCCGAGTCGGCTTGAGTGATTTGTCTCATTCCACACAGTAGCTTTGGGCCTATAGCTCTCCACTGCGAACTGTACGTACATGCAGATGTGCATGTGCATGTGCATGTTTGGACACACGCCGGCGGGCGCTAGAGGCGAGCGGCAGCATTTTTCTAGCCGCATAGTGTGCACCGGCGCGCAGCGCCGAGGAAAATTTTAAGAAACATGCTAAAAGCTAGGCGCTGGCCTCCGAGTACAGACGCGAGACGGCCAAAGTGGTAAAAGTCGCACTCTCCCCTGACCCGATCAAAAGCGTAAAAGCACGCGAGGCTCCAGAAACCTAAGAAACCCTCAGTGCTCAGACGTGTTAAACTCGGACCGCTTAATTAAAAAGTGGGTAGACGTGTCACTCTTCTTTTTTGGAACATCAATCGGCTTGCCGTTCGCCCCCCCTCCCCCCCAATCTTCTGCATTCACGATTCACTTCTAGATACTGGCGGTGTGGAGGGTGAGTTGACCAAGGGGTTGTGCGCCGGGCCCTCCTGCTCGGCCCCAGCCGGTAGATAAGTCTTGTCATCAACAGAGTAGATGGATCTGACCTCGGGGCCGATGTGACCAAGCGCTGGTAGCGTGATTTTACCTCACACCCATGTCTCACAGTGTGCCGGCAGTCGCCGAGCAGTGTCGCTCACACAAGCCGCAGCACAAGTGACTGAGGGCCAGTGAGGGCGAGCCCATCGCTGTCACAGCTGTGGCAGCCGCACAGTAGGCTGTGTGAACTGTGCAGAGTGTGTGAGCAGCAGAGGAGCTGCTCTCCAGGCTTCAGGCGCAAAGAGCTGCATGCCACCGAAAGCGCTGTCGAGGTTCGCCGAGCGCGACGAAATCGGGGGACACCGTCACCGACGAGCGCGTTCGAGTATTCACTCCGGACAAAGACGGCGACACGCACACGAGCTGCGGCCGTGTCGCCGTCATAGCGGCGAGGCGCGGGACCGTCTGTGGCGAAGTGGGTCGCGTCCCTCGATTTCCGTCAACCCAGCATCCACATCCACATATTTTTGGCGGGGTTTGCACGCGAGACTTTTTGCAACTACGTAGTCTTCCGCGCGGTTTACATATATCATATAATTCCAACTTCGTCGTGTGTTGTGTGCGAGCCCGAAATAGCCGTCTACATCAAGACAGCTACGGGATAGGCCCGCGCCGTCGTCAGCGGCGCCACCGCCTCCCACGTGTTCGCTGCCGCTGCCGGGTCGTACCGCTCCACCGAGCTAAGGAAGTCGTCGTCATTCTCGCCGCTCACAGCGTACAGCTTGCCGTCGAGCACTGCCACGGTGAGCTTATACCGCGCCAACGCCATCGGCGCCACCGCCTCCCACACATCCAAGGCCGGGTCGTACCGCTCCACTGAGCTGAGGACGCCGTTGTTGAAGCCGCCGTGCCCGCCCACCGCGTACAGCTTGCCGTCGACCACCGCCATGGCGAGATCGTCCCGCGCCTCCGCCATCGGCGCCACCTCCTCCCACGCGTTCGTCGCCGGGTCGTACCGCTCGACCGAGCTGAGGCAGCCACCGTCGTACCCGCCCACAGCGTACAGCTTGCCGTCGAGCACCGCCACGGCGAGATCCTGCCGCGCTGTCGCCATTGGCGCCACCGCCTCCCACGCGTTCGCAGCCAAGTCGTACCGCTCCACCGAGCTGGAAGTTGCGCCGTCAGCCTCGCTCTGGCCGCCCACCGCGTAGAGCTTGCCATCGAGCACCGCCGTGTCGACATAGCTTCGTGCCGTTAGCATCGGCGCCACAGCCTCCTCCTCCCACTCATTCGTTGACGGGTCGTACCGCTCCAGCGAGTTGAGGATCTCGCCATCGCTGCCTTTGCCGCCGATCACAAGCACGCGCGGCCTCTTGCGCTTCTTCAGCGTCTCCTTCCAGCCGCGGCGCCACGCGCGGCACGTCCCCTTGACGGCGTGCTCCGTGGTCGGCAGCTGGGCGAGGATGTGCGGGGCGAGGTCCGGCGAGAGGAGGACCTCGGAGAGCACCCACTCGGGCTGCTCCGCGAGCCGAGCGGCGTGCTCCTCCGCCACGCGCATTGCGGCGGCGCTCCAGAGAGGCGCCTGCTCGTCGATGAAGGCGACGAGCTGCTCTGGCGAGAGGCCCGAGAGGCGGGCGCCGATGCGGTGGGAGGCCTTCGGTGCGGCGCGCGCTGAAGGTGAAGGTGCTGACACGCATGTTTTCTTTTTTACAGGAGCGCCGCTCTTTTTGTGAGCCGAGGTAGATGGTAAACAAAAAAGAGAAACCTCAGCATAAAGAAATGAAGCCGGCTGCACGATGGCCTCCCACCGCATCGGCGCCCCCGCCCGCCCGCCTCTCGGGCCTCTCGCCAGAGCAATTCGTCGCCTTCATCGACGAGCGGGCCCAGGTGCGCCCTCTGGAATATCTAGGAGAAGGAATTTCGTTTCTAGCTTCTAGGCTTCTAGCCGAGAGTTTCCTGGGCTCGATTCAAGTCTTCTTGGAGCGGCCAGCCCCCCCGCCCCAAAACTGGTAGAAAAGGACGGGCTGACCACACACACACGCGCAGCGCGAAGGAGAGCGATCCGTTGCCTCGCTCGCTCGCCCTAGAGGCCGAGCCAAGCCGCCAGCTGCCTCCGGACCGCCTTGCGCGCTGCAACCACCGAGGGCTGGTCGGTGGGCAGCGACGGGTGCGTCCAAGCGTGGTGGGAGGCGCCCGAGACGAGCAGCGCGGGCAGCTCCGGCGAGAGGGACGCGAGGATGGAGAGGCCGTGCCACGGGTCCACGTCGCCTAACGCGCAGCGGTGCCACATCAAGAGGGGAGCCCCTAGGGCTAAGCAGTGCGCGAGCCCACCCGACTTCAGGCGAGGCGTCGGCTGCATCACGCGGAGGTCGACGGGGCGCCGGGCGCCTCGAAGGTGTCCTTCAGCAGGTCCCACGCGTCGTCGACGATCCAGTCGCCTGCTCGCGGGAGCGCGCGGGTGACGTATGTGGGTGTGTGCTAAGGCGTGTGCTAGTGTGTGGGGCGCGTGCTAGGGCGCGCCCATGTAGCCACAGAGGTTGAGCGTCGGCTTCGAGTAGTTCCGCACGGGGAAGGCCTCGAGGTAGTACGGGAAGGGGTCGGTTTTGATGCAGCACGTTTTGTAGGCCTTGAAGTTAAAGCACGAGGTCGAGCCGAAGGAGGCCTCGTGGCCCGGGCAGCAAAGGAGCTGGAGGAGATCCGTTTGCGTGAAGAGGTCCACGCCGGAGGCATGCCCTGGGTTGAGCTGCGGGTTCGCGTTGACCTCGTCCTTCCAGTTCTTAGGCTGATCGAGCACGACCACCGTGAGGTCGACGTCCTTCTGGTCTTTCTTGGTCCCGAAGTACGGGTTGTCGAGCACCTTTAGGCCCTGAAAGGGGTTTGGTGGCGGGGGGCTGGGCGCGCAGAGGGATAGATAGGGGTAAAGCAAAGGGCGGGAGCGAGGCGGGGCGAGGTACCTTGAGGGTGCCAGCGATGGCCTTGCCGCACTTGTGGCGGTCATCGAACTGCGTGACGAGCAACTTGTAGGGCGTCATCGCCTCGAGATCGACTCTGGTGTAGGGCTTGCCGCTCTTCGGGAGCTTGTTGACGATCGGCAGCATCGCGTCGACGTCAAAGGCCCCGGCCGTGTTGTCGAAGATGTGGGCCAGGAGGTAGAACGGCGCAACCCCCGCATCGACGACGTTTCCGAGCCCGAAGCAGTCCGCCGCCGACGTGTTTAGGTAGTACGAACAGGTGTTGCGCAACCCGTGGCAGAGCTGCGGGGTGAGCCCGTTGGAGGGGGGGGCTATCGCGCCATACTTGAGAGCGGCCGGCGGCTCTTGGTACACGATGCCAAAGAGGGCGGCCAACTCGGGCTTGATGACCTTTCTTTGGTCATTGAAGAAGTCTTCCACGTAGGGCGCGCTGATGTTTGTGAGGATGGAGACCACCTGCGGCGGAGGCAGGGGGGCGGCAGTCGAATGCTCGCGCTGCAAGCGGCGAGAGCGCCTCCCATCAGCTCGCCTTGCTCGCCCCCTTGGCGACGGCGGAGGTGACCGCCGTGTTGTCGAGCAGTCCGCCGTCCGAGAAGAGGACAGTCTCGGAGGCGTCGGCCGGATTCGTGCGGATCTTGAGCGACACCTGTTCATGCCGGGACGCTCCTGAGCAGACAGCGTATACCCCCCCCCTTTCGGTACTGAGCGGCGCGCGTCGAACTCGCGCAGGGGGCAGCAGAAGAGGCTGCCGACGCAGGGGCAGAGGCCGCAGCAGAGGCCCGGCAAGACCACCGCGGGAATACCGAATGCGTCGCCGCCCATGCCGATCGTGGTCTCAGGCGAGAGGTGAGGCGCGCCAGGCGAGTGGCCGTACGGGACAAAGTCGGGCGCGAGCACGAAGTCCTCGTTCTGCAGGGGGGCAGGGGGGGGGGGGGGGGTCAAAAAGCGGTCGGGGGCGGCTGAGAAAACGTTTGAGAAAGCAGGGCCCAAACGGCCTTGACGCGGACGGCGGAGAAGTCCGCCTCGCGCCCGAGGATCCCCCAGCCGCAGACGTCGTCCTTGAGCCACATGCTGCTGCACCAGGGGCCGCCGCAGATCATCCACATCCCCACGGGCGGGATGACGACCTTGCTGCTGCCGTCCTTGTTCACCGCAGTGTACTTGGTCTCGACAGAGCCCGGGGTGAAGACCTGCGGCGGGGGCGGCAAGGTGACGAGACGGGCGGCAGAGGGTCGCTGAGGAGCGATTGGGACCTGCTTCCCCGCGTGCGTCATCGTGTGTGTCCTGGCATCTACGGCTCCACACAAACGGCACGACGGAGATTCCGAGCGCGTTGCCGGGCTGTGCAAATTTGTACTCCTTGTACTCGCTGATCCCTGTCGTGCCCCACTGGAAGTCAAGGGCCTGCTTGACGCCCTCGCCCAGCTGGAGCTCGTAATCAGCAGACAGCAGGTCCGGATCCCGCGAATTCAAGTCCACGAGCGCAGTCGGGTTGGCCTCTTGCCGCTGCTGGCCTGCCTCGAGGGGGCGCTTGGGCACAAACGGGTCGTTGTTTTTCGCCATCTTCTTTGAGATCTCTACAGACTCGTTCCACGCCTAAAGGCAGGTGCAAGGATGGTGGGTGGTGGGGTGAAGGGTTGGTGGGGGGGGGCGTGTGCCTCGCGCGGCAGAAAAAAAAGCAGCGAGTGCATGAGTGTGGTGGAGGCTGCTCCCAGTCTCCTCTCGGACTGCACGCCTTAGCAGCGAGTGCATGAGTGTGGTGGAGGCTGCTCCCAGTCTCCTCTCGGACTGCACGCCTTAGCAGCGAGTGCATGAGTGTGGTGGAGGCTGCTCCCAGTCTCCTCTCGGCCGGCACGCCTTGACGAGCCAAGTGTACAACGGGCCGGTGTACTGGTAGGGGCTCACATTGCTCAGCGAGGCCTACACGAGCAGAGGCCCCGTCATCAGCCCCTCCTCGCTGTGCCCCCCCTCCCCTCTCCCCCGCATGCGATGCTGCACCATGGTCGAGATGCCCACCGGCGTCGGCGACTCCTTCCGCGGCCAGACGTACTCTTTCTTCTCGCTCCCCACCTCGGCGGCGGCGAGGAGCGTGGCCTCCTCCTGCGGCGGACGAGCACGGGGGACACGAGGCGGGGTCAGCGTCTACGAGGATGGGTCAGCTACGCACACGTCGTGAGGCGAGGGTTGTGGTGCGCGGGCGCCTCGCTGGCCGCCGTGTACATGCCCTTTTTGATGCCGATGGGGTCGAGAAGGGTGTGCCACATAAACTCGATGAAGATGGCCGGGTCGCCGCAGGCGAGGGGCCAGCTCGCGCGGAACGGGCACTTTCCGCAAGTGAGGATGCGGTACGGAAAGCCTGTGAGGGCGAGGGAAGGGTGTGGGCAGTCTGCCCCCCTCTCTGTGCGAGGGGGAAAGATGAGAGTGCGATTCGCAAGAGAGGCGCGCCCAGGATGCCCGCCATGCAGAGCCAGAAGACGTCGGGGAAGCAGCACTGCGACTGGCACGCCTCGGTGCCCGCGCAGCACAGGCCGGGCTGGTGCAGGATGCTTCCATACGAGCCGTACTCCTTGCTCACCGGCTCGAGCCGCTCCATGCAGGCGGGCGTGATCTCGCAGGGGCGCGTCACGCGGGAAGTCTCGAGATATTTGGCCGGGTCGCACTGGGAGTAGCAGTACCTACTCGCGGCAAGGTGGAGTGACGACCGTTTATGGGCGATGGCGGTGGAGGCAGCAGTAGCGTGCATGGTGGACGCGAGATAGCCACCCGAAGCGCCAGAGATGATGTCGAAGTTGTCGAGCGCGTTCTTCGAGCATGCATCGGGTCGGCGCTGCTCCACCTCCTTCTTTGCAAAGCCTCGAAAGACGCCCAGCATCTCAGCGGGCGGCACCAACCCGCCGCCGGTGACACAGAGAGCGACGTCGACCGAGTCGTCTCGCGGCTGGATCGCAGCCTTTTTGGCCTTTCCCTCTTCGCTGCGCTTCTTAGCGAGGTACTCCGGGCTCGGGCGGAGCAGGGTGGGCTTGGGAGGCATGGGAGGCATGGGAGGCATGGGCCGAGGCTGCTGCTCGAGGGCCGGGGCGACGAATGGCGGCGGCGCTTCCGCGCTGTATTTTGCTTCGCGAGCCCGCTGTCCGTGAGTGCGAGATAGGGCTAGCAGTAGGCAGCTAGCCCGTGAGGAGAGCGTCCATAGACACCTCACATGATCCCACACACGATCTCGTCCGTGCCTCGCCGGCCGGCGAGATTGCTGGAGGTAGAGCAAGACTGCTCTAGCCTCGCATGTCACTTCCTGTTGTCTGTTGTTTGTTGTGCCCTTGTTTGTTCTTCTGGTGCCTTGGAGTGCTGGGGGGGGCGACAGGGAGGATGTGGCCCTGAGTTATGTGTACGCCTACTCAGGGTGTGTGGCAGCCAGCTGGCTGTGTGTCTTGTGAGCCTGTTTGTGTCTGTGTGTCGCTCGTGCGTGTCGTCATCATCTGTCTAGCGTCCACCCATACCGCGTTGGTGTCCAGTCCGAGCCTGGCTGTTCTTCACCTTACTACCTACCTACCTAGGAGAGAGAGAGAGAGAGAGAGAGAGAGAGAGAGCCAGGCAGGGCAGATTGAGTGCGCCCGGCTCCTTCTTAGGCTGGCGCGGCGATGGACCAGGCCAAGGAGAACGGCGTCACGCCGCTGTCCATCGCGAGCGCTCAGATCTGTCTTCTCAACTCTGTTGATAACAACTTTTGTCTACTCGCTGCCCGGCGTAGGGCCCTTAGGAGCCTAGAGAAGAAGAGAACACGGGAGGCTTCCCTCTCCCTTTTCTAGTATGTAGTAAGCTAAAAGTACGTACACTGAAAAAATCATAGGAGTTAGGACAAGTTTACGCGAACGCGGTGTGTGCGGAGCTGGTGCGGAGTCAAAACGCACGCCGCAGCACTTACGTCTTAAAATTAAACCGATTAGCGTTCCACGCGGGAGCGTGAGCCGCGCGATGGAGGCGTGAGGCGACCATATCCCCCCATGAATCGTCCGCGCCGATGAACGATGTGCGATGCGGCTGTTTGCATGCATGAGGACCCAACTTGCTAACCACACATGCATGGCGCGCGGTGCCCACGGCGCCCCGGGGCCTCACAGTAATTTACTCACGTCCATCTTCTCTCGGCGCTGCGCCTGCGGCGCTCCACACAGCGCGCCGGCGCTCGCAGTTCCCCGCCGGAGCTCCGCACACGCTCACACCTCACAGGAGGTTCTCCTGGTACCACTCCTCGCTGGCCTTGGTCGGGCCGTACAGGAAGGAGGTCGGCCCTCGGAAGAGGACGAGCTTGGTCGCACTGTCATCGCTCGCCTGGCCAGCGGCGGCGGGGCGGTGAGACTACCCGAGAGAGTACGAGCTTGGGGCTGTCGTCGCTAGCCTGCCCGCGGCACTGATGCGATGAGGCGCCGTCCCGCAGATGTGGACAAGACCGGCCTCAGCGACATCTAGATCTCGGCGAGATCTCGACGGGATCTCGGCGGGATCTCAGCAGACCTTGATGGCATCTAGCGTCGCGTCGAACTCCCATCCGAGCACGAGCGTGCTGCCGACGGCGACCTGCGGGCGGCGGGGAGGGGGGAGGGGTGGGTGGAGGGGAGGGTGGAGGGGAGGGCGGCGGTAGATGGCGGCGGTGAGGGCAGCGGGGAGGGTCGGCAGGGAGGGAGATGGAGACGGTGCGACAAGACACGCAGGCAGAGCGATGAGGAGGAGGTGGTGGAGGAGCAGGCGGAGAAGGGCGAGGAGGAGGAGGCGGAAGCAGAGGCGGCGCGGGCGAGGAGGAGGAGCAGGCGAGGCAGGCAGGAGAGGAGGAGGAGGCGGAGGAGCGCACCAGCTGATCGCCGCGCGCAAGCACCGGACTCGCAGAGGCGGCGGAGCCAGAGTCAAGCACCTGGGCGGCGGGATGGCGACGGTTGGCCACTGGGCATCGAGCAGGCGGCGGCGGCGGAGGCGGCAAAGGCGGCGGCGGCGGCGGCAAAGGCGGCAAAGGCGGTGGCAGAGGCGGCAGCAGGGGCGGTGGGCGAGGCGAGCCGGGTGAGAAAAGACCGCCGAGAGTGCGGCGGCAGCGGGGGGGGGAGGGAGCGGTGTGTGGGGCGGCGGCAGAGTCGGAGCGGCCCCACGCGCCTCGTCGACAAACACGCCGCCGCACCCGCCCTCGTTCTCGACAAAAGCGATCCCCATCGGCTTGACGAGTGAGAGCGAGACATAGTTGCTCGCGTCGGAGGGGTCGACGTACGTCACGTCCTGATCGACGCCGTCGTTGAGCTCCGCCTCGAGGTCCTTGTCCAGGCCCAGCCACCGGTCGAAGGGTGTCACACGGTCCGCCGCAACAAGCGGCTTGTCGCCGCCGCCAAACGCATCCTTGACGCCGTCGAGGAGGCCAGCCACAGCTGGCCGCGCGCGGACCGCGCCCGAGCGGGACGCAGGCGCGGAGAGAGGCGCGAAGCCGACGAAGCTGGTGCTGGCGAGAGCGAGCATGTGTGTGAGGGCGAGGAGCGAGGAGGCTGCCCACACACAAAATGGGAACTTGCCGAGAAAGTACTGGATTCGGCTCTATTTGGGTAGGGTGAGAGATTTTTCTTTTTATTCGCAGCCGCTTCCGCGCCGGACGCTGCTTTTGATGTTAAAATGAATCGGGGGCACGGGACGCGGCAAAACGCGGGGCTTCTTGTTGGTTTTCTAAAATCTCTCTCTCAAAGGCTTTGTGTGTACTTGTTACGTGAAAACCCGCTGGGACCCGGACGCCAGCACACACGGCTAGATTTCATGGCGGGCCGCCTAGGCCCTGGGGTCGGAGTCAGAATCGGTTGGGTGGCCGCGCAGGGCGCGGGCTTCGCTTTCGGGGGCGGTCAGGGAGGGGTCGGGGCGCTGCAGGGGAGCGCGAGGCGGTGCGGGCCTCCTGGGCCACCCGAGAGGCTTCAGCATCTGGGTGCGGCGGCGGCGGGAGGGCGGGCCGGTTGCGGCCGGTAGGAGCTGGGAGGCATTCGCCTCGCGCGGTGGCGGTGGCAGCCGCGCGAGAGAAGGGCCGGCGGGGAGCTCGGAGGCGGTGGCCTCTGAGACAGGGCGATGGCGTTGGCGGAAATGCGAGAGCGTGTGGGCAATGATCCCCTCCCAGTGGCCAGGGTCCCCTCGAGCAGGCCGCTCGCGGCGCGGCTGTGGCCGGCGGGGCTGAGACGCGAGTTTGTCGAGGGACTGCTCGAGGGCACGGTTGGCGGCTTCCTCTGCAAGAGCAGTTGCGAGATGGTCGTCCCCGTCAGATGGATCCATCATGGAAAGCAGCGTCGCTGCTTGGCACAATGGAAAGAGCAGTTGGTCCGTCGTCGGCCGTGCCGGCGACCGTGGCCGGCGCAGTGGCGCCGGAGCGTGGACCGGGTGGCGCAGTCGCGCCAGCCGAGCCCTGGCCCGCAGGCTGGGGCTCGGGCTGCCAGTCAGCGGTGCTGGTGGCAAAAGCGCTGCTTGGCACAAAGCAGCCCGCGCAAGCGAGCAAACTTCGTACCACTTGGACAGACGGGTCGGGCGGGTCCATGTCCTCCATGCTGCGGCGTCGGGTGGGCTTTAGCGCGATCCTCTGGGCGCAGGTACGTCGACGGCTCGCTGGCGAGTGGACAAGGGCGGAGGCCCCGTTGTGTGTGTGTGTGTGTGTGTGTGTGTGTGTGTGTGTGTGTGTGTGTGTGTGTACACACACACACACTCACTCACACTCACTCACTGTGTGTGTGTGTGTGTGCACTCACTCAAAGGCTTTGACTCTAACGCCAGGCTACAAAGACGGGGAGGCACGTAGTGTGACCGTTTCTAAGTATCAAGCTTTTTTCAATTTTTGTCCCCTTCCTCTTCCGGCCCAGGCGCCGCCACAAGGTTGCAAATACGTGAACTGGCTGTGAACGTCAACGCCGCCCGCAGCATCGAGCGGCACGTCCTCCCCACAACCAGCGGCGTGTATTGCACCGCAATGCGTGTCGCGATCCACATCACCACCGGCTCGCGGCAGGTATGAGCACAGCCACAGGAGCGAGGTAAACCGAACCCCCCGCTCCCTAACCCAATCGCCGCGCGCTCGGCCTCAGTAAGGCCGCATGCGGCTGCTTCGCGCACTGTCCAGACCGGCATGTGTCGGCGCAGCACTGCTGGCTTCTCGGTCGCCAGTCGCGTAGTGACCAGGTCATTCATGACTGTCCACTCGCGGCTTGGCAGCTGCAGCAGCGCGCCGACGAGCTCGCTGGTCATGGATGCCCCGTGGCGAGCAGCGAGACGCGAGAACACAGTGCAGGTCTCGCCGATGGCATGAGCGAAATCATGAGTGGTCAGCGCCTCGAGGCGTAGGTTGCCACGACACACTCGCACGCGCGTTCCATCCTCGAGCTGCACCACGTACCGATCGGCTTCAGCTGAGTAGCCGGCGATTGTGCCACACTGTTCATTCATGACGGTATGGGCAGCAAGCTTACACAGCGCTACCTTGGTTCCTGCAGGCGGGACGCAGCGGCTCGCATCGACGTCATCATCGTCATTTGCCATCTCGGCATCGTCGGCGCATTCGTGCTTTGCTCCGTACATATCGACTAGCGCAGCGCGGCCAGAGCTCGTTTGGAACTTCGAGACGAGCTCCCTGCAGGCGTGGGGGCTGCGACTGGTTGGGCGCGAGAAACGTGCGGCAGCGGCAGTGGCAGCGGCGGCTTGCCTGCGGCAGCTCATCTGTGCCGGCCGCGTCTAGCACCATGCTCATAACGCTTTTTGTCTCCGACCCTCGACGCAGGTTCTTCTTGGCATTGGCACGCTCTTCGCCGCCGACGATCTCATACGTGTCCCCTTGCATCTCCGCTGCGTGAACACTCCATTCTTCCACCACGAGCTCGAGTGTGTCGGCCAGCGATCGAGAAGTTGCTTGTTTGGGCCGTGCGACATCGAGGAGACGCTGCAGCATCTTGACGGCGTAGCCGTCGCCATCGTCGGGGTCCTCGCCAGCAACGGCTCCGCTTTCGCCCACCTTCCTCTTGCCGCCAGCGTGTCGGAGCGTCGAGAGCATCGTCGCTAATGCGCGCGAAACGGACGGATGACGGTGCAACTCCGAAACCACCCCCTCAGTTGCGGGGGAGAGACTTATAAAATGGGAACTTGCCGAGAAAGTATTGGATTCGGCTCTATTTGGGTAGGGTGAGCGATTTTTCTTTTTATTCGCAGCCGCTTCCGCGCCGGACGCTGCTTTTGATGTTAAAATGAATCGGGGGCACGGGACGCGGCAAACACGCGGGGCTTCTTGTGTTGGTTTTCTAAAATCTCTCTCTCAAAGGCTTTGACTCAAACGCCAGGCTACAAAGATACAAAGACGGGGAGGCACGTAGTGTGACCGTTTCTAAGTATCAAACTTTTGTTGAATTTTTGTCCCCTTCCTCTTCCGGCCCAGGCGCCGCCACAAGGTTGGGTGCGAGAGGGCAGCTGCCAGTCAGCACGTGACTTCAGGACTGGCTACTCTCGGGATGCTGGCCAGCTGGTGATGCCCGCGACTTGCCGCAGAGATCCTGCTACGAACGTGTGTACATGCTGTGTCCCCGCCCTACCTGCGGGTGCTCCTGTACACTATCGCCTCTTCCTCGTCACTCGACTCGTCGCTCGGCTCCTGCTTTGCGGCCGAAGGGGATCCCCCCCGCTCGCTCCGCCTTGATGCCCCAGCGCTCCGCAGCTGCAAGCCCCCGTCTGGCTCAAATTCTCCGTTCATCTTCAATGCGGACTCAACGTTTCTCGCCTCCTCTTCGTTCGCGAGGGATACAGTTGGATCTTCCAAGACATTGACGACGGCTTTGAGCTTCGCCGCGAGCGCGAGCCTCTCCCCTTCGCTCAAGCCAGATATCTGAAGCGTGCTCGCCCTGGCCACCAGGTCATCCACTGGCGCGGCAGCCGGCCGCTTCCTGGCGGGCTGGGCTCCGCTTCCTTGCGACGGGTCTCCTCCCTCTCCGTTAACGGGCTGAAGGTTGACCGACCAGGAGGTTGACAGGACATTGCGGGAGGTTGACGGGCCAGCGGTGGCGGCGGCGGAGATGGTAGGCAGAGCTTCGACCAAGGCCGGAAGAATGTCACGCGGGATGCCGTCATCGAAAGACAGCTGCTCGTTGCGCTGCCCCAGTCGCTGCGTAGCTAAAACCGGGCGCCGGCTGCCTCTGCCCAGTGGCACAAAAGTCTTGTACATCACAGAGAGCTCCAATGGGCCGCCTTCTGGCTGTCCATAGTCGGCAGCCGAGGGAGTCACCCAGTGTGGCGGCGGCAGCGGCGAGTCAGGGTGAAGAAGGACGAGCGCGCCATCTTGGCTTACGTCCTTGTGCTTTGGACCATCCTTGCAGGTGCGCCCCTCGGCTCTGCTCAGATCGCCGCTGTCATTGATGAGACAGTACTTGAACCTCTCCGCATAAGAGGCCGGTGCATCGCGAAAGCCGTCGGCGGAGCCACCCTTGGGTCGGAGCGCCAGAAGCTCATCTCGCGGAACGCAGCGGACAATGCTCTGATCGACTGCAAACCCGTTGTCTTTGCATCGCACGCAAACGCGCTCCCACGGCTGCTTGCCCGCGGACACAGCTGGGCCCGGGCCATGCTGTCCTCTCTCGAGGCGCTCGTCTGCCGCAGCAAGACACGTTGCGCCTAACCGCTTCGCAAGACACTCGCTGTGCGCCATGCACATCTGCCGTCCGCCTGCAGATGCAGAGGGGGCAGTTTTTCTTCTGAGCTGAGCTTAGCCGCAAGGCGGAGAGAGAGAGAGAGAGAGAGAGAGAGAGAGAGAGAGAGAGAGAGAGAGAAACCGCCAATGGCCGTTATCCGTTAGTGCGGACGTCGCCGCGGCTCGCCTCTGCCGCGGCGGCTGCTGCGCGCACGCGGCGGCGCCGCTCTCTCGTGAGACGGCTGGCGACGCGGCTCGCCGCCGACGTACGGTGCGCTCGTCCGACGGTCCGCAGCGTGGCGTGCGCGGCGCTGAGCGCCGCTCTGCGAGCGCCTCTGCGCCTGCACTGCCTGTCTCTGTTGCTGTTGGTGGTGGTGGTGCTGATGCTGCTGGTGCCGATGCTGCTGCTGGCGCGGCGCGGCTGTGCGACTGGGCTCGACGCGCGCGTCGCGAGCGTCTGACGCGGCGGGCGGCGTCGGGCAGGTGCGCTTCTCTCTCGGGTGGTGGTGGTGGTGCTGCTGCTGCTGCTGGTGGTGCAGATGCTGCTGCTGGTGCGGCGCGGCTCTCCGACGCGACTCGATGCGCGCGTCGCGGCTATCTGACGCGGCGGGCGGCGTCGCGGGCGGCAGCGGTGGCGGCTCGCGGGTGGAGGTGGAGGCTGGTGGCTGTGGTGGACTTTGAGTTTATTTCATGGTCGTGTACGGGGACCGGGGGGTCAACCGGGAGGCAGGGGGTTCAACCAGGCGACGGAGGACCGTGGGCCATCGCGGGGACGGCCCGCCGGAGGCGGGCTCGATTGATCCGGATGGTCTTCACGCCGGTGGGAGGCACCGAGGCGTCTTGGACGCTCAGCTCTACCTTAAGCTCCTGAGGGGCGCGTGGTTGTAACCACGTAGTATGACTACAACCCACCACAGACACCCTCCCCCACTCCTCACGTGTGTTCACACCCTCACCCTCTCCTCTCTCCTCTCTCTCTCTCTCTCTCTCCTCTCTCTCCTCTTGTCTGTGCTGTCTGCCTGACTCAGGCACTCAATCTGCCGATGCGTGATTGTGTGTGGGCTGCTCCGAGGGGGCCCTCTGTGCGATCCGACGGGTAGGGGGGCTGTGCCCGGGCGGTGTCCGGTGTGGAGTCCCCTTCTGATCCCGCCTGCGATGTTGGGTGTGAGGTCGTGGAAGCTGTGATCCCAAGGGGGGGAGCTGATCCCACTCAATAACCAACTCTCAGGGGCAGTAGGTGGGCGAGCTTCAGGCACGCTCATCTCGATCGTCAAGACGTTGCTACGCGCGGTCTTCCGCGGGGGGAGCTGCGTCGACGGGTGCGGGACCGCGGCGCAGCCAGTGCCGTGGCGATGCCTCCGGCTGTTTGCGGCGGGCGGCTTGCTGCTCGCTGCGATGGCGAAAAACTCGTCTCGCCACACGCCAAGGGCTTATGCTCTGGCGAGACGTGAGGCGCATGCGCCCAGGAGGGGAGGGGGCATGTGTAACGACACTGCTAGAGATGCCTTTCGGGGCCCAGAGATAAAACTTCTGTGATGCCATGCGTGACCTAGTAGTGTCCCCAGCTATGGGCGTGTCCACGTTGGAGCCAGGTGTGGTGTGGGCGCGAGAATAGCTCCGCCGTTCATGGAGGCAACCGATGCGAGTCGACTGGTGTGTGTCGTCGTGGTTTCGTATCAAGAATTCTCTCTCTCTCTCTCTCCGCAAGGCGGACATGGCACATATCGCTCTCGGGCCCACGGACATCCCGCACACCCGCCGCCACCCGCGCGCGCCCCACCCCGGCCGGGAGAAAGGGGAGTGACAGTTTGGGATGGACAGCCCGAGTATGTTGAGTCCTGGCTCAACAACGCAGGAAACAAGAGGGGGTGGTCCGGCTCACAAGTCCGGCTCACGCGCCTCGAGCTTACCATCTACGTACCGCACTGAACACTTCCGCCCCCTCGCTCCCAACCCATCCACCTCGCCTCGGGCCGCGCCGCGCGATCTCGGGCGATCTCGCGCTATCTCGGGCGATCTCGGGGCCGCGCCGCGCTATCTCGGGCGATCTCGGAGCGTCGCTCGCGCGGCGTCACACCTGCTCAAAAAGGAAGGAGGTTGGAGGCAGGAGGTCACGCCCCATCCAGAGCGCCGTCGTCGCCGGGTTTTTGGCCCCCGGGTCGTCGCCCGACGGTTGCTGCGCGGGGCAGCAGACCATCGGACGGCGCGGCGACGCCCCGTCCGGCACGCTCCCCCCTCCACCCGGCTATTGCCGCACGAGCGCCCTCAGCGGCGGAATTTTTCCCTCGCGCTTCCTTGGGCCCCCGGCAACGCCGACGGACTTCCCGTCCCCCCACCTGCGCCGCAATCACCGCCGTGATTGTCGGCGCTGCGCCCCTTGGCGCCTGTGCATGTCCCGCGTGCCCGCCCGCCAAGGCTGGTGCCAAGGCCAACTCAACTGCCAAGGCTGGTGCCAGGGCCAACTCAACTGCTTGGCTGGTGCCAAGGCTCAAAGGCTCTCCTCTCTCTCTGCTCGCTCCGCCCTCTCTCTCCCTCCCTCCCTCCCCCCCTCTCACCCCCTCCCCTCTTCTCTCCTCTCCCCCTCCTCCTCTCTCCTCTCTCCTCCTCTCTCCTCTCCTCTCCTCTCCTCTTCTCATCCTCTCCCCTCTCCTCCTCTCCTCTCTCCCCCCCTCTCTCCCCCAGCAGCTTCCTCGAGGCCGAACAGGTTACATTCCGTGACATACAAAAAATAACACTTAAACCTAGATCCTCCCTGATCGCTAAGCTACCACAGGGGACGGCCAGGTAGTAGACGTCGTCCGCCGCCGCCTCCGCCGCCCGCGTGCCTCCGCCCCGCTCAGCAAAAATCAGCATTATATCAGGAGGTGCCAAAGCAGCAGCATCTCCATGAGGTGAGCGTCGTGCGTTTTGCCGCCGCGTGCCGCCGCTGCGCCGACTGGCTCCCGGTTCGAATCGTCCTTCGCGGAGCGAACGCGGCGACACAAGCGCACGTCGCGCGCGTGTGCGCCTGCGACAAGACGAGACGAGAAGAGAAGGAGAAGTAGACGGTTGATGTTTTTGCTGCCGCGGCCGCGCCGCGAGCTCGCGTCTGTTTTGGCGCCGACGACGCGACGCGCCCCGCTGCGTGAGATGGCGCCGCCGCGGAGTCGGCGCCGCGATCAACCGCGCGTCAGCGGCGAGCGGCGCAGCGCGGCCACCATGCGATGCAGACGCGGATTGGGTGCGGTTTGTCCAGCAGCTCAAGCACGAGCACCCCCGGCTCTGGCTCGCTGAGGGACTTGACGCTTTGCAGATCGAACCTGCGGGGCGAGGGGGGTGCGAAGGGGGGAGTTAGTTAGGCAACATGGGTAAGTGTTCATGGTTCGGGCGAGCACGGTGCACTTCCCAGTGCTCGCGAAGACAGAGCCAATCATCCGTCCGTAGGACACAATAAAGCCGTCAGAGACAAACCAGCGCTTCTCTGTACGGGCGTCAGAGCCCTTGTGGCTCTTATGCAGATACCCTGATAGCTTCGTGGCATCGCTCGTGCCGGCCATCGCGCTCAGCCAGCGTCGAGGCGGACTCGTCCGTCCATCCCGTTCTTCATTCATTTTCACAGATAGGTCGATTAAGAATTTTACAACAAGAAGCTCACCGGACCTAAGGCTTCACATCCGGGCTGCGCACAAGAACATAAGGTACCCAGATCGTTCGCACAACCCCGGACCCAACATTTGGCATTACGCGAACACGATTTGTACATACACCATACAGCCGTGTTACGCGCAGACAGAGTCCGGACCTGGCTGTGAATAGGTGGGCGGCGCTCTCGCCCGCGAGGATGCTGCCCACAGTATGCTGCCTATCTATGCGGGCTCGATATGCGGGCGAGCCGGGACCGGCCGGCTGCCGCGCGGCGACGCCGGACAGAGAGCGCCCTCATCCTCGTCATCGAGCAACCCGTTGTAGCTCCTCTATACGCGGCTGCAGCGGTGCAGGCACGTCCGTGCCGTGTGCTCGCCGCGCCGCCTCCCTCTCCCTGCGCGCTCGTCCTCTCGATCGCGTCCGTCTCTGCCGAGCGCGGAGCAGCGGCCTCACTTCTTCTTCTTCGCCGCCGACTTTAGCGACCGCTCGCGGAAGAGCGCGTCGAAGAGGAGGACGGCGCCCTCGACCACCATGATGCCGATGAACGGCTTGACCGTCACGTCGAAGCTGCTCATGAAGAAGGCGTCGTGCCCGAGCAAGGTGCCGGCGGTGAGCCAGTCGCACAGCCCGAGCGTGATGAACAGGTTGCGGCGCAGGAAGGTCCCCTCGAGGTTGGTGAAGACGGCCGTCATCTTCACGAGTGCGACCGTGATGATGAAGCAGCCGAAGAGCTGCCCAAAGAACATCTTGGCGCCTGTCGAGCGGAAGACTGCGCTCGACTTCATCGACGAGTCGGCCTCGAACATCTTCATCAGCTTCTCCTCGTCCGGGAGCGGCAGCGGCGTGCCAGTGGCGACCAGATCGCGGATGCCGATGGCGAGGAACAGACTCTGAGCGAAGGCGACGATCGCCTTGACGTGCACAGGAGGCGACATGGCTGGGCTGGCTAGCTGGGCTGGCTAGGCTGGCTAGCCCGCTGGTGGGGTGCCCCCCGGGGGCGGGTCCGCTTTTGATAACAGAGCGAGTCGCAGCTGTGAAGAGACGCCGTTCCCAGTGCAGGCCCGCCTTGGAGTCGCCCGTTCGCGGGCGAGAGCGCCGCCCACTTTGGAGACGGCGGGCCTGCGAGGGCCGCCAGCGACGTAGCCGGGCGAGCGGAATATTTAGGGCAGCCCTAAAGAGCGCCTTGAGGCCGTTCAATAGAGCTTAAAGATCTATGTCGAGAGTCGATCGCCGACCGCCGGCGCAGTGCTGGTCTGACCGCTCCGCGCGGGCCGCCTCCGGGCCGCCGCAGCAGAGACGTGCTACGACGTGCACATAGTCAAAGTTGGTGTTTTCACATATGAGCTTCAATAAGAGCAGCTCCGCTCCCAAGGTGACTGGTGACGCCTACGACTACTACCAGCGCGCTCGCAATCCGAGCAAAGCCTAGGATTGCGAGCAGCTTTGCTCACAATCCGAGCAACATGCCTCCGATTGCGAGCAGTAGCGCTCGCAATCCTACATCTTGTAGGACTCTGAGCGGCGGTGCTCACAATCGTACCCAAGATCCAAGGATTGCTAGCATTTGCACAGGGGGCGCTCCCAATCGCTCCAGCCGCGAGCGCTTGTGAGTGAGCGCGCCGGGAGGGTCTCCTCACAATCCAAACAGTGATCGCACCGATTGCGAGGGGACCCGCTCGCAATCCTAGAAGTCGTAGGACTGTGGGCGGTGTCGCTCGCAATCGGCGAAAGTTCTAGGATTGCGAGCGCTCCTGCTCGCAATCGGAGGCATGTTGCTAGGATTGTGAGCTAAGCTGCTCGCAACCCTAGAGTTTGCTCGGATTGTGAGCGCGCTGGTAGTAGTCGTAAGCGTCAGCAGTCACCTTGTGAGCGGAGCTGCTCTTAGTCCTAGAAGACGTAGGATTGCGAGCGTGGGTGCTCACAATCGCACAGAGATGCTACGATTGCGAGGAGTGCTGCTCACAATCCTTCGACTTCTAGATTGAGAGCGAGGCTGCTCTCAATCCTAGCGGTCTAGAAAAGAAGGTTCACCCCCAGTGTTGTGCGAGGCAAAGCCACCTAAAATTCTTTTCGACGCCCCAACGGCGGCCTCAGGGGCCGTACTAAGGGCCCCCCGCGCGGGTAGATGGAGGTCTCCTCATACACGGAGCTGCTGCGAAGGCGCCACGGCCAACCGCCGGGGCTCGCGTCATCGCTCCGCCTTCCGTCCCGCTCGTCCACCGCTGCGCCATCTCCCGCGCCACAGAAGCGGCAGCAGCCGCGACAGCAGCAGCACCCGCCGCCGCGGCGACAGCAGCCGCCAACGCCGCCACCACAGCAGCAGCAGCAGCAGCAGCAGCAGCAGCAGCGGCGGCAGCGGCATCAGCAGCCTGGGTGTGCGGCACACTCAGCTGAGACGCCTCGGCCGCCGCCGCCGCCGCCAACCAAGGTGCCTGCAGCCGCGTCGCAGCTCGCCGCATACGCTGCGCCCGTCTCCTACGCCGCCGTGGGGCAGCCGCCAGCGGCCGAGCGGCCGGCCTCCGACGCGACGCCGCTGCGCTCCACGATCCGAGCCGACATTGACCGCCGCGTCAACCGCGCCGCCATCGCCGCGCTCGCTCGCGCCAAGGGGCACTCAAAGGCCGCCGCCGCGAGCCGGCAGCCGGCCGAGCGCGCCCTGTGCGTCGCCGCGCCAGCCACGAGCGCCGCCGCCCCAGCTCCACCGGCGGCTCCGGCGCGCCGGGTGGCTGGAAGGACCGCACGCGAGCGCTGCCGCGGCTGCGTCGAGAGGGCCGCAGAGGCGGCGAGGCTGGGCGATGAGCTCGTCCGCTCTGATTGCGAGTGGCGGAGGATGGTCCACTTGCTGGAAGGGGAGCTGGTCGCCTCGCGCCGCACTGTGACGCGGCTCGAGGTCGAGATTAGCCGAGATTAGCCGAGATTGGCCGAGATTGGCCGAGATTGGCCGAGCCTGGAGGGCGGCGCTAGAGGCGCTGATGCAGGATGGGGGCGGAGTGTCCGGGACACGTCCACGACATGTCCCAGAGCGTGTCGTGTAGGCCGAGCTCGCCACGCACGCGCGTCTGCTGCTGGCGCCTCCCGCTCCCGCGCCTCAGCACGCCCCTCCTCCCCCTCCTCCCCCGCCGCGGCGTCGTCTGCACCGCGGCGCGGAACCGCCACTGGAGAGGGAGGGGCCGCCGCTAGACCGGCCGCCGCCAGTGCGACCGCCGCCGGAAGTGCCTCCGCCGCCTCCGATGGAGCGTTCATTGCCAGAGCAGTCGCTGACAGAGCAGTCGCTGCCAGAGCAGTCGCTGCCAGAGCAGTCGCTGCCAGAGCAGTCGCTGACAGACTCTTCGCCGCCGGTGACTGCGGCGGCCTGGAGGCGGCACCTGCTCGACGAGAGGCAGGAGGTTGCGGCGCGGGAGGCGCGGGCGCGAGGCGCGGCGGCGGCGGCGGGCGAGGCGGCGGCGGCGGCGGTGGCGAGGGAGGCGGCGTTGGCTGCCGCGGACGCCGTCGCTATGGCGAGAGGCCCTCACCACCACGGGGAGTGCTTGAGACCGCGCACTCTGGGGCAGCGCCGGGCAGAGTGCGCGGCAGAGGGCGGCGGGGAGGAGGAGGAGGAAGCGCCGCGGGAGCGGGCGCCGACGCAGAGAGCGGCGGCGGCGGAGCTCGGTCTGGGAGATACAGGGAGATATGGGGAGATACGGGGAGATGTGGGGAGATATGGTCTGGAGCCCGAGGCGGCGGGTGGCTGCTCCTACGCGGGCTCGCCACCGTCCTCCTCGCGACGCCGCGCGGGAGCAGCAGAGGAGGGGGGGGGGTGGCGCAGAGGCGGCGGCAGCCCCTCCCTCTTCCCGCCCCCGCAGCGGCTCTGCGCGTGGGGGGCCACCGCCGCCGCCGGCGCGCCTCCCCTTCCGCCGAGCAGCCTCGCGCCCAAGCCTGAGCCGCCGCCGTTCGGCTTCACCCCTCCTGCGAGGGTGGTGGCGTGGGCGGCGGACGACGCAAGCCGCGACGCCAAGCGGCCGCGCTCCCCCGCCTGGCTGTGCGCGGGCGCCGAGCGCACCGGCGCGACGATGCGCCATCCCGTCGGCCCGCGCGTGCTGCACACCGCCCGCGAGCTCGTGCGAGAGTCGAAGGCCATCCTCTCCGCCGCGCCGCACCCGGCGAGGCTGCGGCCGACCGGGCCCTTCGACGCATGAACAGTGGGTGAAGGGAGTCGCCTCGGGGGAGGGGCGGCGGGCGGTATAGCTCCTTTTTGCCGGACCGTCGTCTCACGCACGGGTTGTTCGACGGGAGATAAAGGTTTTTCTTCTTTCTTCTCAAATTCGTTTGAAGAGTTTTGAGAAGAATCCTCACAATAAAGCCGTAAATTTCAAGAATCTAACAAGAACAAGAGTTTAGTATTAGAATTTAGATGCATCAATGGTTGGGCACACACTACGCCTGTCTTCGTTTCCCAGGGGGAGGTTTTGCGAATCTACAGAGAGGTGCCCGAAGGGCTGTACGCCATATGTTTTCTTTCCCAGGAGGGGAGGCGGCGTTTTTCTTTTGAATTTGTATATCTTATACGGGCTGGCTATCGTGTGCGAGTGTGGTTTTCCCGCACTTTTCTTCCCCCCCCCCCCCCACCCCACCCCCAGGGTTGTGAAGAGCTACAAGTAACTGGTGGTTTGTGTCAAGAGCGTCTTGGGTCCGGGGTTGTGTGTTTTTATGGGACGTGGGCCGTACTGCTATGTACCGGCCCTATATGCATCCAGGCAGAGATCGAGGAGCGCCGCGCCGGCCGCTAGGATGGACGGAGAGGAGGACCGACGAGATGGAGGGTGGAAGGCGAAGAGCGCGAACAGGCGCAGGAGGCGAATGGGGACAGGAGACGGGACCATGCCTGAGAGAGAGGGGGGGAGTGAGGAAGCGGAAATCGGTGGGAGCCAGCGGAAAACGACAGGAGTCGGAATGCATGGTGCGTAAGGAATGCAGTAAGAAAGCCTTAAGAAAGATTGTAAAACACCCCGACGAACCCCGGCCGCCCAACAGACCCATACTCGAGCCGATAAGAAACTCCCGCCAGGGTTCGTACAAAAGTTGGCGGGCGCTATGCCGCGAGGAAGACCTCCTTGCGAAGAGTCGGTCATGTCATGCGCCACAAAGCGACAGCCCGACCAGCCGCGCCAGCGCATGCCGACGCAGGATGAACGAGAGGGGTCGGGGCTGCATGCCAATCACACAGTCAACCATGAGGAGAAGGGGTCCAACACCATCCACTTCGACACGAGGGCTGCGTCAGAGGAGAGCGACAACCCGAGACAATGGGAGGAAAAGCACGGGAGAGGAGCAGAACGAGAGAGGAGCTACCAACGAGCGAGGCGTTCAAAACGACGGCGTTCGCGCGACGGCGTCCGTGAGACGCCAAAAGTTGAGAGTGCAAAGCCTTGCGATACCGCGGCACCGGACCCTCACAGACAATGAGAGGATGCTTGGGAGACGTCGGAGTGCGTGCGAGGAAGGCGACGCAGTCGGAAGAGGACGGCGAAACAGCAAGGCCGATATCAAGAGGATCCGAATATTCGCATACAACCGACCTGGCCAGCACATGGTAAGCAGAGAAAGTGACGTATACAGGAGAAAAGAAACAGGCAATGGTAAGGACCTGGCCACCACACCGAGTGAAGCGATGGCCTGCGTAATCAACATGATGAATGACCATCGCGGCGATCTCGGTGTCATCTCGGAGAGCACGACGACAGAGGACGAGAGAGCTGCAGTGATAGGGAGATGGGATCTCGAGGGGTATGGCACCAGCGTTGCCTGCGGCGAGAGGGAGGGCGACACCGACGCCGACGCCAACACAGGGCAGACAGGAGCAACATCGGGGGCGGGCACGAGCAGCGACCCGCAAAACGACAAGCGCGGACGCGGGCGAACGAGATGTGGCGTGACCATCGTATGGAACACCGACAAACTCAAAAAGGTTGAACCAGAACAGGAGGTCGACATAATCGCTGCACGAGTAAGGAGGGTGGTACTCGAAACACTCGATGGGAAACACCGAATCAGCGTGTACGGCGCGTATATGCCCGACACAGGAAAGAGCAATGACGAAATCGCCAAGGCGTGGAAGGAGCTCAAAGAAGCGATACGACACGACACGCACGAGAGGGTGCTCATCATCGGCGACATGAATGCTGTAACGCGGAAATGGGTGGAGGAAAGAGGGCGGCAAATGGGGACGGCGGACACGGAGATGGAAGACCTGCTAGAGACCGAACAAATGGAGTCGCTGGGCACGGGCGTCGCGACGCACAGGGGGGGAAGGGAGATTGATCACATAATAGTCGACGCGCAGACACGAGCACGAGCAAGCGAGGCGGAGGTCATGCCAGGAGAGAAAGACGATCACAAAATTGTACACGCCGACATCATACTCGCAGAGGAGAACGCCGACGAAGGACAGCACAGGCGGATTGGAGTAAAACTAGACGACTGGGACGAGGCGGAATGGGCGACGTACGTGACTGAGACGGGGTCCATGAAGAATATGTGGCAAATAGGAGGAGAGACGTGGAAAAGGACGGGAGGAGGGAAATCATACATCGAAGAGGCACAGGCTATGATGGAAGCGGCGGCGACGGCGATCCGGAACAAGCGAAAGAAGGGCAAGACGCGAAGAGACGAGGACGGGGACGAGGAGCGGCCAGCGGCGAAGACGCACCGCGCGTCGCTCTGTGAACAGATTGGCCGGTGGTCGAGGCTAGCGGGAGAGGCGGAACGGTACCGAGGGGAGACGGGAGAGGACGCAAACGATATCGGGGACGCAGAACAGCGCAGAATCTACAAGGCACTGTGGCACCACGCAAAATTAAGAAAGATGCTCAAGCGGGAGAGGCACGGAGGCGATGCGGCGAGGGCGCAAGCCGCGCGGGATGCATGCCGACACCATCTGCAGAAAATGAGCAAACGACTTGAGAAGATGGACTCGACGGAGAGAGCGGTGGGGGAGAGAGCGGCGGTGCACGAGCTGGAGCGACTAATAACGACGACAAAGCAAGGACTGATACGAGACGTATTCAGGATACTAAACCGAGCGAGGGGACGCAGGACCGCACGAACGGCGAAGATAACGAGAATCATAGAGAAAGCGCCCCCGCCGCAACAAGGACCGGACGTAACGCACGAGGAGCCCGCGGCAGTGAGGGCGGCAGCGGCCAGACACGGAGAGCGGACGCTCAGGGCCGTCCCAGTAGCGACGAGGGTCATGGCGACGCTGATAAAAGAGTTACTGCCGCAGAACAGCGATGGCGGCGGCGGCGACACCAGTGGCGCACAGAGTGGGACGGAAGAAGACGAACGAGACGACACAACCAGCGTGGTGGAGAGAGTGTGCTCGTGGGAGAACTTCAAACGAGCCCTCGCAAAGTGCAAGGCCAAGAAGGGGACGGGGAAGGACGGCTTCAACGCGTACCTACTGCTGCGTGCACCAGAGTGGTTGCAACGAGCATACTGGGAAGCGACGATGCGATGCATCCGAACGGAGGAATACCCGGAGGTGTGGAGGGAATGGATCGCGATGCTAACGCTCAAGGCCGGCGGCACAGCGAGTGACATTGCGCAATATAGAGACCTGTGGCTCGTGCCACACGGACAGAAGCTAGTCATGCACATGCTAAGCAACGAGTACGACGAGGTAAACGCCAAGGTCATACCAGGATCTCAGGCGGGATGGGAATCGGAACGAATGTGCGCAGAGATGATAGTGACGGTACGATTAATGATAGAGCAGGCGGCGATCGAAGGACGCGAAATATGCATCGGCTTCCAGGATCTGTCAACATGCTTCATGAGCATCGTAAAGGAGATACAATTTCAGCTCGAGGCGGCGCTAGGAGTAGAACCCGAGATCAGCGCGGTAATTAAGGCGCTACACACAAACGTTACAGGGCAATTTGAGACCGAACATGGGCTGTCGGACGCATTCCCCCTGGACCGAGGCACAGGCCAGGGCGATCCAAACGGAGGGTCGAGGGCGAAGATGCCGATAGCAATGGGACAATGGGCGGTATCCAAGTACGCGAGAGGATTCGCAGTCACAAAAGGAGAAAACGGGCGGGTGCCACAGCTATATTACGCGGACGACGGCTCATTCATCACTGAGAGCACCGCGGACCTACAGGCGATATTCGACCTGAACTGGTACTTAATGAAGATGAGTGGCATGGCGGTCAAGGTCAAGGGAAAAGAAAAGACAGCGTACATGGCAGTACGATACGAGAATGGGATCGCACGAAACATAGAAGGCGCGCCAATGCGACTCCTCGACGGGACGGAAATTCCACAGATACGGGCACCACGCAGCATCAAGAGGGCGACTTCGACAGCGAGAGGACAGACGAGCAAGGGAGAAGACGACGTACAGACGGCGAGACAAACGGCGGTGGAAGCGGCGGCGGTCGAGATCTACAAATACCTGGGCACCCCGATAACCGCCCAGTGGCAGAAGGGGATGGAACCGGCGAGACAAAAAACGAGAAGGGAAGCGACGCGGCTAATGAAAATGGTGAGGTCACATGCCACGTTCATTAGCTCGCGCCTCTGATCAGCGCGACGCCTTACCTTTGTTGTCTCTGCAGACAATGGGGGAGTGTAAGAGATAAGGCGTCCCGGTGTGAACGTGTTCCACCCCTCACCCGTGTGCGTCTCTCTCTCTGAGAGAGGAGCCACCCTTCCTTCCTCCTGTGTCCTTGTCTGTCCCGCGCACATTGTCATGGAAGGTGGAGCGCGCACATTGTAGCGACGTTATACTAAGTCCTTTACTCTCTACGATTTCCGACAAGGACTTCAAGTAGACTGAGCTACGATGCATCAGTGTGTGTATCAGTGTACCAGCGCCGTGTGCATGCCGCGCATCATTAGGGCGATGCGGGGCGTCTACCCATGACATTCGCGCGTCAAGATGAAGGCGCGTGAAGACGAAACAGCTTGTACGACGAGCGTCCCATGCCTGCCGACAAAGAAAGAGAAAAAAGACACGTCAACCCCAGGTTCCCGCGAGAAGAGAGTCGCGGTGCGCTCAGCACCCGCAACCCCGCCCGTTTGCATGCCCGGCCGAACGAAGGCTGGCTCAGCCGACTCCCGGCGCGGACACGCTTCAACGGCGCCACAGGCTGCGCCGCTCGCGCTGCCGAAAAAGATCGAGACAGCGGCGGCGAACGGCAAGGCGGGCGTGGTGCAGACGTGGCTCGCCGGGGACGGGCGGGTTGATGCGACGTGCGTGCGTGGCGGTGTGAGTGGCTGGACGCTCCTGCTGATCGCCGCCGGACACGGTCACAAGCAGATGGTCGAGGTTCTGCTGAAGCAGGGCGCGAGGGTCGACGCGCAAGACAGCTACGGCAGTACGGCGCTGATTGCCGCCGCCGTCAATGGCCACGTGCAGGTGGTCGAGACGCTGCTGCGGCACGGCGCAGAGGTCAACCTGCAGAGCATTCGCGGCACCACTGCGCTCACGAACGCTGCCTACTACGGCCACGAGCGCGTGGTCGAGCTGCTGCTGCGGCACGGGGCGGAGATCAACCTTCAGGTCCCAGACGGCCACACTGCGCTAACGTACGCCGCCTACTACGGCCACTCCGAGCTCGTGCTATGCCTGCTGCGGGCAGGCGCAGACATGGCGCTGCGCACTGCGGACGGCCACACGGCGCTGCAGACCGCCAAGGAGAAGGGCCACACCGAGTGCGTCGCCGCCGTCAAGACGTTTCTGGGCGAGGTGGTGGCGGAGAGGCGCGACGCGGCGGCGGTCGAGGCGGGCGGCGCGGGGGCAGGCAGCGCTTCGGGCGGCGCGGGCGGCAGCAGCGGGCCTGTTCCCGAGGACATCGGCGCAGGCGGCGCAGGGGCGGACGGCGATGCCGCCTCGGGCAAGGGGGCAGCGGCAGCATCAACTGCCGCGTCCTCTTCTGGCGGCGTGGAGAGCGGAACGGGCGAGGACGCCGTCCCCGAGGAGGTCGTGGAGGCGGCTATGCAAGGCGACGAGGCGGTGCTGGCGTGGCTCGACGGCGGCGGGCAGGTGGACGTGACTTTCACTGCGAAGGGTGTGAGCGGCATTACGCTGCTGATGGCCGCCGCCCGCTACGGCCACGAGCGGCTGGCCGTGGCGCTGCTGCAGCGTGGCGCTTCGATCGACCTGCAGAGCAGCGTCGGCAGTACCGCGCTGCTGTGGGCCGCCGACCGAGGCCACGAGCGGGTGGCCGAGGTGCTGCTGCAGCGTGGCGCCTCGATCGACCTTCAGACCAGCGACGGCCGCACCGCACTGATGCTCGCCGCCCTCAACGGCCACGGGCGGGTGGTCGAGCTGGTGGTGCGGTGCGGGGCAGAGATCAACCTGCAGAGCAGCATCGGCAACACCGCACTGATCATCGCCGCCTACACAAACCACCCCGCCGCTCTCCACTGCCTGCTGCGGGCGGGCGCCGACACGAAGCCGCGCACGGTGGCTGGACACACAGCGCTGCAGGTCGCCAAGGAGAAGGGTCACGCCGAGTGCGTGCGCGCCCTCGAGGAGCATGCGGCGGCCAAGGCGGCGGCCGAGGCGGTGGCGAAGGAGGCGGCGTGGGCTGCGGGGGCGGCGGAGCGGGCGGCGGAGCGGGCGGCGGCGGAGGCGGAGGCGGCGCGGCACGCCGAGGAGCTGCTGGCGGAGGTCGAGACGGAGAAGCGCGGCAAGGGCAAGAAGGGCAAGAAGAAGAAGAAGGGCGGAGGGGCGGGCGCGGCTGGGCCGTCGCAGGATCCCGAGGCGCCGTCAGGGGCAGCTGCAGCCAAGCCCGCGAAGCTGGACAGGGAGGGGTTGATCAGGCTTCTCGAGACGCTCCACGAGGAGCGGATTCGGTACGGCATCACGGCGGAGACGTCGGTCGAGGGGCTGGCGGAGGCGTTGGGAGAGGAGGCCGAGGCGGCAGGCGAGGCGAGCGAGGAGGAGACAGCGGGGGAGACAGGGGAGGCGGGCGAGGAGGCGGCAGCCGAGGCGGCAGCCGAGGCGCGCCGAGAGGCTGAGGCAGAGGAGGAGGAGGCCGCGGCGGCGGAGGAGGCGGCGGCCGAGGCGGCAGCGGCAGCCGCGGCGGCCGCGGCGGTTGCAGAGGCGGCGCTCGCCGCAGCCAAGGCGAGGCGCATCTCGGCGGCCGCTGCGAGGGCGAAGGCGCGGGAGGCAGCCTAGCCGTAGCCTGCGCGCAAGACCAAGAGGTTTCTGCGTGCTGGCGCAGTGGAAGGCACGGCGGCGGCCAGCTCTGCCGGCGCGGCGGCCGGATCGTCGAGGACGCCCGCGACGGTGGCAGGAACGTGGAGCAGGAACATGTCCGGCGTGACGCGGTCCACCACGAGCGCGTGCCGCACATCCGACCGCGTGCCGTGCCGCAGGTCGCCGACGGCCGCCTCGAGCGCCGCCCGACAGCTCGTGAGCTTCCGCTTTGGGACGAGCAGCGCGCCGACAGGGACGCCGCCGTGGTCTGACCGCCGAGAGCGGAGGGAGGCGTCGAGGGAGGCGTCGAGGGAGGAGGTGGCCGGCTCGGGCATATGCACGTGGATGGTGCCGCGGGAGGCTGAGGGGACAGCAGCTTTTCTTTTGAGCTACTAGCTAACGGGGAGAAATTCTCCAGTGAGAGCAATACCCATACGCCTCCTATGTGTACACACGTTCATGACCCAGTGCGCAGGACCGACGTACAGACTGTGATCATCTTGCCGAAGAGACGTGTGCGGCGGCGCGCACCAATGCTGCGGTTACCTTTTGCGGCGACGCTGTGACGTTGCACTGCAGCCAACGCGCGCTCGGGCAGCTGTCCGCGAGCGTCGCGGCGACGCGCTCGTACCTCACGCCGAGCGCGGCGGAGAGCGCCTCGTAGATGTTCGCTTTGGCGCCGCGAGGCCTCAGCTCGACGGCGGCGGTGCGGCGCTCGGCCCACGGCAAGAATAGCACCCACGCCAGCGCCTGGCCGTGCACCGCGACGAGCCCTGCCGCCGCCGCAACCTCGCGCGCCTGCGCGGCGACCGGAAGCGCCTCGAGCGTCGTCGGCCGCAGCGCGTCGCCCAACCCGGCGCGGCGCAGCGCGTCCAGCAGCGCACCCTCGTTCGTCAGCCCGCGCCGTGGCGTCGACTCGCCAACGTTCAGGTAGAGAGGCGAGCGGCGCACCCAAAGCAGGGGCGGCCGTTCCGGCGCGGGCGGCGGCGCGCCCAGCAGCCGCCCGATGCTGCGGAGCGCCGCCGCGCGGAACGCGCCGACGCGCGGCCGCGACGCCGGCGCGGCCGGGTGGAAGGGGGCGGTCGTGCCAGTCAGCGTGGCGAAGCAGGTGCAAGGCGCGTTGAGGAGAGCTCGCACGTCGGCGGCGACCTCGGCGCGCGGTGTCATCGCGCGCAGAGCCCACTCCCACGCGTGCCACCGGCGCGGGTCGGCACTTAACTTGCGCCCGACGGCGGCGGTCGGGTAGACCAGCGGCACAAAGGTGGGCGGCGCCGCGGCCGGGCGGAGGGTGAGGAAGTGCTCGAAGCTCGGGACGGCGTGGAAGGCCATGTGGTACACGTTGTTGCAGGAGAAGGGCACGAGCACGCCGAGCGACCTCCGCTCGCAGCGGCGCAGCTGGTCGGTGGCCTCCGCCGGCCGCACCTTGAGCACGCGCTGGTAGCCAAGGGTGTACTCGCTGAAGCCGTGCAGCATGGCCGAGTCGCCCGCCTCGGAGGTGACGGACGGACGGAGCTGTGACGCCCGGTCGGCGTAGAAGGAGACGCACGCGTTGTTGAAGGCGAACGGCCCGACGAGGTAGTCTGGCACGCCCGCGGCCCCTGCAGCTGCCCCCTCCTCGTTTCGGCGGGGCCGCACGTCGCGGCCGGCGGGCGGCTGCTGCAAGTGCCGTGGCGCCTCCGCCTCCACCGGCACGCCCTCTCGCTCCCTCGGGGCTGCCCGCGCGGGCGCCACACGCAGCGACCTCTGGAGCGCCGCACGCACGTGCCCCGCGGTCCGCTCTCGCTCGGCGGCGAAGAATGCCTTTGCGCCGTCTGATATGGTGCGCCGGGCGCTCTCGTCGCGGAGAAGCTGCTCCACCTTGGCGTGCAGCTCCTGGGGCGAGTCAAAGTAGGTGACGTGTGGCCACTGGTACCACTCGGCGAACTGGAGCCACTGGGCCGCCGCCGCAGGGGTGCACGCGTCGTTGGGCTCCGAGGCGCAGCACGGCACGTCGGCCGAGGGCGGCGGCGCGGCGAACCACGCGCGCGCGTCCTTGATGCTCCACCGATTGAGGAAGGGCACCCTCCTCCTCTCGCCGCTGCTCGGCCTCCACGGAGTGTTGCCGGGACCCTTGTGGCTGCAGAGGCCGGTGGCGACGTGCAGCGCGGAGAGCAGCCGCAGCGAGGGGGCGAGGAGCGGGATGCCGAGCGAGTACGCCTGCACGAGGCCGTACGAGTGCATCGAGTACGGCAGCAGCACCGCGAGCGGGTGCGAGGCCACGTCCTCGTACGAGTAGCCGCACACCTTCGACCTCGCGTACACCCTGCTCGCCGTTGCGTTGGTCGGCGCCCTCCGGCACTGGTCCGACTTCGTGTACAGCTCCGACAGCCACGCGAAGCGGACGGGCGCCGACCCCGTCCCCGCTGCCCGAGCCGCGCTCCCGTTCGCGATGAGCGCCGCCCAGTGCCGGATCGCCTTGTTGTACGCATGGTTGCCGCAGCAAAAGAGCACCTCGCTCCTCGTGCCGGTGTACGGCGTCGCGGCGAGCTGCGGCGACGTGCCCGGCCACGGCACCGGCGCGATGCCCGTGGTGCGGCGCAAGTACACGTCGTCGTACGCATTGGAAGCGGCGACCACCACGTTGGGCCCTGAGCCCTAGAGTTGTTTTTTTAAATTCTTTTGGCGAACCTGGTGCGAACGGGAAGACCGAGCTAGAAGAGCTCGTCATCGGGTACCGTCGCAGCGAGGTGACAGAAAGCCCGTCATGGTTTTTGCCGCTCCGTACGAGTTCTGGGTATGATCTTTCCACGTTCGACAGTGTGCTGGGCTACCGCGGCGATGAGAAGGACCTGCTCGAAAAAGTCATCAACGCTGCAAGCAAGGCGCGGAGCAACAATCCGGAGGAGGCCAGCGAGATCGTCCTGCGCGACAACGTGAAGGACATCCTCGACAAGGAGTTTGGGAGGTGCGCGTGCACACCGCCCACACACGCATCTCTCTCTCTCTCTCTCTCTCTCTCTCTCTCTCTCTCTCTCTCTCTCTCTCTCTCTCTCTCTCTCTCTCTCTCTCTCTCTCTCTCTCTCTCTCTCTCTCTCTCTCTCTCTCTCTCTCTCTCTCTCTCTCTCTCTCTCTCTCTCTCTCTCTCTCTGCTTCCTACTCTCACCGCGCAATGCCGATCAATAGGACTAAATTTACCTTCACGAAAGAGACGCCGCCTGGCCCCAAGAGCAAGCAACGCATGGACCTCGGGATCTGGATGCAAATCTGAAATATGTTCCAGCCATCTACTTCTCTTCCACCTGGTGGAGGTGGTGCGATGGGGACTGGCGCACACTGCGAGGTTCTTCGTGTCTTGCGCTTTGGTTGATCTTGCGGTGATACCTGATACCAGCCGACATATCAGCAACAAAAGTGGGGCTCGCGTATCGGCGGCGAACACCATGGAGCAGAGCTTTGGCATCTATACTCCATATCTTAGAGCCTAGGCACACTTAGACCCGCTTGCTAGGCGTCGAGGCTCAAAACTACCCAACCAGTGTCGTCCCAGGGATTCCTCTCTTGTAGGACAGGTTGCACCCAGCGCGGCACGGGGGAAGCGCGCGGGCCTCCTACTACTTCTCACTGGTGCCTTTTCCAAAATTCTTTTTGGCCAGTGCGCGCCAGTAGTCCCATGGCCATGCCCAGAAAAAGAAAGAAAACAGACAAACCAAGGGAGGGGTGGGGGAGGACGGCACGCCGCCACCACACAGGGATTTTAAGGAGAGGAGTGTGGTGGTGCTAGCCGTCGCCCTGGTACGCCCACCCTTGGGCGTCTGCCCCTCGCCTATCTCTCTTCGCAGTCCCTCGCCGATTCTCGCTGCAACCTTCATGCCACCTCGCGGTCGTCCCACTCTCGTGTCTCGTCGTTCTCTCCCGTGCCCAGTGTGGTGCGAGGGAGGATGGTAAAATTCTTTTTGGTCCGGCAGTCGACGACGACGTGCAGCTGCTGCTGTTCGAGTCGTTCGGTGGGTTGGGGAGGGGGGTCCGTGAGATCCTCTGGAAGGCGGCGAACGTGCTGCAGAACAAGCTGACGCGGGCCCAGTAGTACCTCGATGAGGTGACTTGGACCACCAAGAACTGGCTAGGGCCTAGGCTGCAGAAGCAGCGTATCTCAGTCGTCCTTCACACAGACAGCCATCGCAGAGCAGATTGTGAATGAGCTTGCCTGCGGCGAGGGCGGTCGAGTGCACGGAGCTAAGTGCCTCGCCGTCCTCGCAGGAGTCGCTTAGGCGGCTCCAGTGGTGTACCTGTGTTAGTGCCAGTGCGCGCCAGTCCCGTGCCCAGTGTTTTCCGCAGAAATTCTTTTCTCCCGGAGCTTCGGATCTCCTCTCATGTTTGCGCTCTCGGCCGCCTCCGGCCTGCTCCTCCCGCCGCGCGGGGCGGAGCGAGCGGTCAACTCTCGCGCTCCGCGACGGACCATTGCTGCTACCGCGACAGACCCGGTGCAAGAGGGCTGGGTGCGCGACGGCGACGGCAACCTCGTGCTCCGGCCTCAGGCTCGCCGGCCCACCTTTTGAGCCCGCATCTCACCTCCCACCTGTCCCTGAACTCACTCATCAGAGCCTCCTCGCTCGCCGCACGAAAACCACGCACCTTGGTCGTATATGCAGGCACGCACCCACGCGCAGATCGCCGGCCTCGCGCGGATGCAAGGGCGGCGGGAGGGCCACGAGGCGTTCCGCGACCGGCCGTGGCCCTCCTCGATCGGCTTTGGCGAGAGTGTGGAGGGAGTTGCGGCGCGAATGGCCGGACGCCGCCGGCGCTCGGCGGCTGGCGGCGGCGGAGGCCGCTGGGGTGAGCGCCGCGCGGCAGCGGAGGCGGCGAGGGTTGGCGGGGTGTGGGCTGGGCGGGATCACGGGGTGGAGGACTTTCGCGACGCTGTCCGCCCGACGCTCGACACCTTTCTCGACGGCTCAGCGGCCGACGTTGACGGCCGACGGCGCGCGCCGCCGCGCGCGGCCAAGGTGCTGCCGCCGGCAGGGCAGCTGACGACTCGCGACGGCGCACCGCGCGTCGGGTTGCAGCCGAGCCGATCCGTCGGTGGGGCAGAGGCGTTCCGCGACGGCCTGGCGACGCGCGACGGCTCCGCCAGCGTGCGCGACGCGCCGCTTCCTCGAGGCGCCGCACCCGGCACGTGTGTAGGGAAGGGGAGGGAGAGCCTCGGCCCTCTCCTGGAGACTTTCCTGGAGACTTTCCTGGAGGAGAGAGAGAAGAGAGTGGGGAAGTTACTCCTTCGGCTCGCCTTGCCACAGGCGCCGGCACGCGCGACGCCGCCGCGAGTGCGTACGCCGCCAGCACGCGCGACGCCGCACCCGGCGTGCACGACAGCGGCGTGCCGCAGCAGCGTCGGCCAGCGAGCTCCCCGCCGGCCGGCATGCCACTGCCGGCGCGCGGCGCCCCTCCCGGCACCCTCCCATCGCCGACCGGCTTGCCTCTGCCGGCCCCTGGCGGCATGGCGGCTGCCCCTGGCGGCATGGCGGCTGCCCCTGGCGGCATGGCGGCTGCCCCTGGCGGCATGGCGGCTGCTCCTGGCGGCATGGCGGCTGCTCCTGGCGGCATGGCGGCTGCTCCTGGCGGCATGGCGGCTGCTCCTGGCGGCAGCCGTCTGCCGTCGCCGCCGGCCGGGATGGTCTCTCCGCCGGGCAGTCTGCCGTCGCCGGGGATGGGAGGGCCTCCCGCGGGCATGGGAGTGCCGCCGCAGGGCGCGGCCGGAGGACTGCCCGGCATGAGCGGCCCGCCTTTGGGAAGTGGCGGTGCGGCGGCACCGCTAGGCGCGACCCCTCCTTCGGGCCGCCCCACGCCAGGGCCCGCTGGCGCCGGCCCGGCTGCCGGCTTGCCGTCGCCGCCGACGCAGCGACCGATGCCGGCGCCGCCGACGCAGCGACCGATGCCGGCGCCGCCGGGCGGTCTGCCGACGCCGCTTGGGAGCGGCGTTGGGAGCGGCGCGTCGGCGCCGCCGGTTGGCGCAGGCTCGGGCCGGCCAATGTTCGATCCGGCCGGCGCTGGCCCGCCGAGCAGCCTGCCGAGCAGCCTCCCCTCGCCGCCGTCGCGCGGCGCCGTCGCCGCCCCTCCCGGCACCCTCCCATCGCCGACCGGCATGCCTCTGCCGGCCCCTGGCGGCATGGCGGCTGCCCCTGGCGGCATGGCGGCTGCCCCTGGCGGCATGGCGGCTGCCCCTGGCGGCATGGCGGCTGCCCGCCCCAGCGCGCTGCCAGCGCCTGCCGGCGGGCTGCCCGCACCGCCACAGCGCGGCGCCCCGACGGTGCCGCCGCCGGCTGGAATGGCCCGCTCCCCCGACGTTGCCGCGCCTCCCACCGCCAGAACAGGAGCTGCTCCCGCTGGCATGGGAGTGCCGCCGCAGGGCGCGGCCGGAGGACTGCCCGGCATGAGCGGCCCGCCTTTGGGAAGTGGCGGTGCGGCGGCACCGCTAGGCGCGACCCCTCCTTCGGGCCGCCCCACGCCAGGGCCCGCTGGCGCCGGCCCGGCTGCCGGCTTGCCGTCGCCGCCGACGCAGCGACCGATGCCGGCGCCGCCGGGCGGTCTGCCGACGCCGCCTGGAAGCGGCGCGGCGACACAAGGTGGCCGCCCGGTGCTGCGTGAGTGAACTAGCCACTTCTTAAGGACTGCTTGGCACTCACTACAGGCGGCGGCGGATCCCCGCTCCCTGCACCCGCTGGCGGGCAACCACCGCTTCCCGCCCCCGGCAGCACGCCCGCCCCCGGCGGCGCGCCTGTCCCCGCGATGGCGCCGCCGAAGGGGCCTGCTCCGGCGGGGATGGCGCCGCCGAAGGGGCCTGCTCCGGCGGGGATGGCGCCGCCGAAGGGGCCAGCTCCGGCGGGGATGGCGCCAGCTCCGGCGGGGATGGCGCCGCCGAAGGGGCCAGCTCCGGCGGGGATGGCGCCGCCGAAGGGGCCTGCTCCGGCGGGGATGGCGCCGCCGAAGGGGCCTGCTCCGGCGGGGATGGCGCCGCCGAAGGGGCCAGCTCCGGCGGGGATGGCGCCGCCGAAGGGGCCAGCTCCGGCGGGGATGGCGCCGCCGAAGGGGCCTGCTCCGGCGGGGATGGCGCCGCCGAAGGGGCCAGCTCCGGCGGGGATGGCGCCGCCGAAGGGGCCTCCCCCCAGCGGCGTCGCGCCCGCCCCGGCCTCGGCCAACACGGCGGCGGCAGCCGGCGAGACGGCGGAGGCGGTGGCGAAGCGCGCCTTCCTCGCCCGCAGCGATTCGAGCTCCGGGCCGCCGAAAGGGGTGCCGCCGCCGGCCGGCCATCCTAGCGCGGCTGCGCCAGGGCAGGGCGCGCCGCCGTCCGAGTTTGCGTCCGAGCGCCTAGATGGGGAGAGATGGGGAGAGCGCGTAGTCCTTGTCGTCCAACGATCACTCGAGAGCACTCGAGAGAGGACACGTGTGCCGCTGTGTGCAGCCGTGGTCAAGCCGTGCTCACTGCAGTCGTCAGCGCACGGCGCGAGACCGCACTCACGCGCTGAACTTGGTGCACTCACGGCACCCGGGCCGGTGCTTGCACTTTGAATGCCGTGGGGCTCCTCCCCGTGTCCGGGCGTGGAGATGACTTTGTGTGGTGTGTGCAGACGTTTACCTGACCTGTACCGTAGGTTCGACTCGCTCTCCGACGACCAGGTGCGGCAGCTGTGCATGAGTGGCGACGCGCAGGACATGAGCTACGCCATGGACGAGATGACCCGCCGGAACGACCTGAGGGGCAGCCAGGGGACGAGCATCCCCACCGGCCGCCGCGTCTCGATGCAGGGGCTGCAGGCGTTGTTCGAGGCAGGAATGGCGCCCTAGCCAGACCTGGTGGCCGAATGTACATGTGGAGTATTCCGAGGGAGAACGAGGAGCAGAGATGAGAAGAAAGAGATAGCGTGATGCCCGAGTGCCGAGTGGTAAAATGCAACTTTGGCATTCCGCACGGCGGCTTGCCGGCGCGCTCAACGACAGAAAAAAAAATGCGCTTTACCTGCGAAAGACACTACTCTCCCCCCCCCGTCACTTGTCCCCCTTGGCGTGGCGCGCCTCTCCCCCAGCTCTCGGTATCGCGTACTGCACGAGGCTACCGTGGGCCCCGCCTGCGCGCTGGGGGTTCCCTGCCCTGTCGGGAAGCCTAGCTCTGAACCTGGGGTCGCTACCTAATGCGGGGCTCCTGGACGGGTGATGAAGTTCGCCTTGAATCTCTCGTCTCGCTTTCCCCCCTACTCGCGTCCATCGGGGGTACTCCCGTGCCTTGGCTCTCTGATCTCCCCCTCCCCCCCCCCCCCTCCTTCCCTCTCCGGGATGAGAAGCGCGCTGCTGTCCCTAGAGTGGGGTCGGGTGTTGGGGGAATTGATTAGGCACCATGTTGTCCGCGGCCGCCCACGGACGATCGCCGGAGTGGGCCGAAGGACAGAGGCTTGCCTGCGTGGGGGCGCGCGGGCGCCCACTCAGGCTCGGCCTCCGTTGTCTCAGCCTTCAGTTCACCTCTCCTAGCGCCCGGTTTTGCGTGGCGACCTTCATTTCGGGGTCGAAGGTGCTACACACACTTGCCCCCTGGTGGTCTGGCACTCGGCGTTATACCTACTGGGGTTAGGCTGTTTTTCTTTTATTTTCTGAATTCACGCGGTGTTCTTTCTTTCCTGTCAGTTTGGCGTTATCCCTACTGGGGTTAGGCTGTTTTTCTTTTAGGCGTATGCGTGCACATGGTGCTGTATGCTGTGTACTTTGCTGTGTGTGCAGGCAGGCTGGCAGTGTGTGCTCTGTGCTGTGTGCAGGCAGACTGGACAGCGGACTGAACGGATGGCGGAGCGTGCGCGCAGCGTGCCACGCGCGCGCCTCGTGCAGTGCAGACCAGGCGCGTGGCGGCAGGGGCGCAGCGCGGAGCACGCGGGCTGAATGTTCAGAACAAGCAGGGCTGCTGTGCAGTCGCGCTCAACGACAGCACGTTCCGCGCGGCGAGGCGCCAGGCTCGTGCGACGCGGCGGACCGCCAGCACCGCGCCGATCGGCAGAAGAGCGATGTCCGATGACGGCCTCCAGCGGGTCGCCCTCGAGAATAGTGGGGGAAATGGTAAATTTTGAAAGTCGCACTACAAGCCCGGCAAGCTCAGCACTGACTGTGGACACTATGGGGAGTCTATAGCTATGCCCCTTACATCCAGGGACCGACCACACGAGGGCCCACACCCGTCTCAAGACAGACAAATTTCGGTCACCGGCGCGCGCGCGGCGCCTCCTCCTCCTCCTCCTCTTCAATGAGCGGCGTGCGGGGCGGGCCGGTGGCGCCCAGCTCGCGGGGATCGAGCCGCCACCCATACGAGACGGGTTTGTTCCACTTCTCGGGAAGAAAGGCGATCCATCTCTCCCCCGCCGGCTCGTCGTACTCGGGGTCGGCGTCCCACGCCCAGAGCAGCATGCCGGCCGGGAGGATCTTGCGTGCGCGCGGGCTCCTCTTGTCGGTGAGGCCGTCCGCGACGCGCTTCACCCTGCCGGCGGCCCAGATCTTGACCGTCCTACCCTCCTCCTTGTATGGCCAGCACACCTCGAGCCACTTGCCCACGAGTCGCGTGTCGAAGGGGGGGGCTTCGCGGTCCTGCCGCACCTCGACGCTGTCTGAGATGCCCGCCGCCTCGCGCAGCTCCCGCGCGACCTTCGCCTTCGGGAGGAGGTTCGAGACGTTGAAGATGCTCTGCTGCTCCACCGCCCGACCTGTGCAAGGTGCTTGGCAGCACTTGGTAGCTTGAGGCGTGTCTCACAGCCCTGGCCGTGAAGCGCCCCCGCCCCGGCCTCCGGCGACCCGACGGCCGCCTCCGCGGCGGCGGCGCCCTGCGCGTCCAGCTGCAGCTCGATCGCCAGGGCCAAGCAGTCCGGGCCCTGAGGCCCCCGAGCAGTGCAAACATCCATCGCTTCCATGCCTCGAGGAGCGATCTACCGGTTCCTCACCCGTCATCCTGACGCCGAACGAAAACACCGTCGGATCGCCTCGAGATCCAGTTTGGGTTTGGGGCTTGGAAAATGAATGTTTTAGTGGACCATTTCCCCCACATCGAGAAGCACACGGGGTCATTAATTGCCTCAATCGAAGCACGAAGCCTCCATGGTACAGCTTGGGCGATTGCACAGCGGGCGCGGGGTGGAAGCTTGGGTAAACGGGCTTGAAGCCAGCGCCCCCAGCGCGTACTCGAATGCCGCCGGGATTTCTTTTTCAGGGCGTTTGCGTCAAGCCCGCCGCTTGTTGGACAAAATCAGCTGGCTCAAAATGCCGAAAACCGCGCCAATCGTCACCGCCAACGAGGTGGTGGGCAAAGCCGGCGACGAGTGGCCTTCTTCGGCTCCCGATCAAGAGGCTCCCAAGCCCGGGCGCTCGGCGTTTTGGTGGGAAGCCCGGCCGCTGCCCGCGCAGCGAGGCTCCCGTCCGCGCATCGTTCTGGTGGCCGTCGTTATGATTGGCGTCTTCTCTTTCCTCATGTACAGCGTGTTCCGAGATGCCCCTCGGGAGGGAAGGCAGTTCCCGCTGTGCCCGCATGACCTGTCCAGCGTGCAGGCCGGCACGAGCTGCACTGTGGCGTGGTCAGCGCTGCGCACCAAGGTTCACCCGACCCAAGTCAGCGTTGGCTACGTATGGGCACTTAAGCATAAGGTGGAGAAGATGTACTCGGAGGAGTCGGCGCAAGAGAGGATGGACGGGAAGCACATCCCGTGCATCAAGCGCGGCAGCGAGCTCTACTTCTCCGACGGACACCATACGCTCTCTGCCCTCGATTCTTCCGGCTTCTGGCACCTTGCAGCACGCGACGCTGTGCCACGATTCACTGTATTGCTCACTCGTCCGAGTATTGCGTAGGGCGACGGAGGTTACCATCGTCGTCCTCTGCGACCTGACTGCGCTCAGCGTCGCCGATTTTTGGGCGACGATGGGTGAGAAGGGATTCGCCTACCTTTACGGCCGCCCCTCTGGGCCGTGGACATCACTGCCGGAGCCACTCGCTTTCAGCGCGCTGCCCTCCCTCGTCGTCTTCAACAACCACGAGCCGCCGAGCTTCACGGATGACCCGTGGCGCGCGCTTTCCGGCGCATCGCGAAAGATCTCGAACCAGAAGTCCTGCAAGGCGGCCGCATCAAACACAAAGTACTGCATGCGCGCCTATGACCGCGTCTGCAACGCCGAAAAGGGAAACAGCAGCATCTTCTTCTTCGAGTACTACTGGGCGCCCGCCGCCCTAGTACCGCCCCATACGCCCGTCTGTGCATCGCCCACACACCGCCTCTCCTCTGCCGTGACCCGTGTCGCTGTGTGCGTCTTTCAGGGCTACTTTTGGAACGCCGCGTGGCTGGACCCGTCGCTGTGGGAGACGGACCTGACCAACCGCTCCGACTACGACGCCTTCGCCGCCTCCGTCGCCTCGCTGCCGCAGGTGAGGCCCGACACACCCGGCCTGTCGACGGCGGACATCGAGGAGGCGATCAAGCTCTGGTTCGACGCAGCGGAGCAGCTCGTCCCCCTCTCCCGCTCCTTTGGAGCCCGCAACTACGTCCTGCCGGCCGGCTTCCTCGAGCGGCAGACCCTGCCCGGCCACGTGGCGGGGATGGCGCCGCTGCAGGAGAAGGACCCCAAGTGCGGACAGGCGGCGGCTAGCTGCGACGTGCCCACGCAAATTAGGGTCTAGGGGCTATAGCGGAAACGCGTCAAGCTGTCAAGCCGGCGTCAAGCCGCTCCCCCATTCGCCCCTACCGCGCTCGCGATGAGCGAGGCGCCACCTCACCGCCACGTCAGTAGAGTACACACAGAGGGACGTACGAGTGCGGGTCAGGAGGCCCTAAAACGGCGGGAGGGGTAGGGGTGCCGCTGTAGGGGTGTGGAGGGGTCGGGAGGGCGGGAGTGTGGACCGTGACCTAAAGCCCTCCACCGGCAGAGGTGTCAGGCGGCAGGGCCCAGGAGGGGTGGGGGCTGGGAGGGCTGGCCAAAAGCGAGGCGTAGGAGGGCTCGTGAGGGCTTGGGAGGGCGTGGAGAGCTCGGAGGGGTCGGAGGGCTCAGAGGGCAGAGAGGCACGAGGGTGGCGCTGGTGGGCTCGTGAGGGCTCGGGAGGGCTCACAAGGGATGGAGTGCCCGGAGGGCTCGGAGGGGCGAGCCGCCGAACCGGGCTCGGGGGGCTCGGAGGGCTCGGAGGGCTCGGAGGGCTCGGAGGGCTCGGAGGGCTCGGAGGGCTGGAGGGCTCCAGTAGGGCTCGGAGGGGTCTGGAGGGCTCGGAAGCTCGAGCCCTCAGAGCCCTCCGAGCCCTCTTGGGGGGCAGAAGAACATAAGCCGCGACATCGTTTTTTTTATCTTTTTGCGACCCCTCCCGAAGGGCCCTTCCGACCCCTCTCGAGCCCTACCGCCACGAAGATCCTCCCTTGTCCGACCGTCCCTCCGAGCCCACCCGGCGTCCGGGGAGGGGGTTAGCCCTGTGGAGCCCTCCCGACGCCGATCCGACGGGGACCCCTCCAGCCCTGTGGGCTGGCGAGCCCTCCGGTCGGAGGGGTGGAAGTGGGAGGGCTCGAGGACGGACCTCTCTCGCTCCGGGAGGGTGGAGGGGTGCAGGGTGGAGGGGGTGGAGGGGTGGCTGAGCCCTCTAGCTCTTCCGATAAGCCCTACCCCTCCCGCCGTTTTAGGGCTTGCTGACCCGCTATGGGACGTACACACATATATGGCGACACACAACGCGTACTGGGGCAATCTCCATCCTTCATGGCATGTTTAACGAAATGAATGAAAACTGCTCGCGAGTTGCAACATTCGCAACTAGCAGCACTCTACAAGCGCAGCTCGAGACTCCTCCTTTCACTTCTCTTTATCTGCGCCCGCTCGCGCTGGCTTCGATCCCGTACCCGAGAGGAGGGCAAGCAGGCCGAGAAGGAGCAGCAGCCCGGCCCACATTTCCGCGGTGGTGTTCTGGCTCAGCCAGGCTTTCGCGTCATTGGTAGCCCTCAACCCAGATTGCACAATGACTGAAAGATTGGCGTCAACAAAGTGGAAGACGGCCAGCACGCCTCGGACGGCCGCCCACTTCATCGGATTGTTGGCTGCGGCTGCCTCGTGGGCCTTCCGTATCGCCTCGGCCGCTGCTTGGCGAGCCGCATCCTCGGTCGTGGCTGCGCCTGTGATAGGATCGGGCATGCGACGAGTCCTCCACACGCGCAACGCAGGCCGCGCCCAGCCCTCGGCGGGCGGGGCAAAATCCAAAAAAATCGCTAAATGGCACGGACAAAAAGAAGCATGCCGAAATCTCGCTCAGCAGGTCTGTGGCGAGAGAGTCGCCCTGTCACCAAATTTGCTCCTCAAGTATTGTGTGAGACTCACGTCTAAACGACAGGAGCCCCACTGCATTAATTAGAAGGCCTTGTGGCTGTGTCTTTTAGATGGACGCAGGAAGCTTCCGGCGGTGGTTCGAATCCACAGGAGCCGATGGGTGAAGGGGCTGAGGGCTGGAGGTCTGAGGCTCACCCATTGAGGAACTGAGGGTACTGCGCTCCGTCCCACCCGGATCCTCTGGCCCGCCGCAGGCGCCGATTTTTCGGATTTTTTGGCGATTTTTTTACTTGTTTTCATGGGAATTCGGCGTACTTGCGGCCACATGCTATCACGCCTTGCGACAGCCTGTCGGCGCTGCTGACCGTGCCATGATGCACAATTGATCACCTGCATAGCTCGCGGCCTTAGTATCAAGCATTCAGTGACGACCTGATCGTACGGCCAGTAGGAAGGTGTCCTTCCATCGTGTGCACGCTTCTGACGCAATGCGCGTCACAAACTGCCTCGGATTGGCTGCTGGCACTCTCGAGGCTATGCCTACACAGCCTCGCGCGCATGGGCAGTCAAGAGAGACCACGCACTTCTCAGGACAGCGCCGGTGCCTCTCTCTTGGACCGGCAAACTTGGTGGTATCGTGTCACCAATGTGGGACCAGTGCGGCATTCCGGCATCGCGCCATCGACAGCTCTGAACTGCGCCTCACCACTGACCGGGAAGGCCGCCAAGTGGGCCAGCACAGGTCGCACATTGTGGCAGCAGTCAGCAGTGCATGGCTGATAGCTAGAGCAGCAGCGTCAGGGTCGCAGGGCCGGATCGTGTCAAGCCTCTCGCCCGGCCGGCCGTGTGCAGACGTCGGCCTGTCTGCTGTCTGGAGTGATCTGTCGGCGGTCAGTACGACCGATCAGGTCGGAGTTTTCTGATGGTTGGAGGGTCTATCTGTTGTGTACTCCTCGAGATCTCTCCAAATCTGCCCTCTGATTAACCTAGCTTAATCGGGAAGTTGGTACTGTGAGCGACTGTGAGCGCCGGAGCCCCGTTTCCGCACTGCTGCGCGGCGCACGGTGTGGGCCGGGAGCCCCCGCGCCGGCCCAGAGCCCGGATCATGCTGAACAAGCTCCTCTTGTAGCTAGATCGGTCACACCGCCATCACCGCCGACGTCTCCCAGTGAGACGATGGAGAGGGGGGACGACACTGCTTCAGCAGCGTGCACCTCGATCCTTGGAGGATTGGAGTGCAGTCGGCAACCGCACATCCTATACCGTGTGTTTGTTATGACCCCCGAGAGACGGAAGAGACGATCGAGGGGTCCCGTACCATGTGCGGAATCGACCCTGTCCCAGTGCAACAGTGCAACAGTGCGGTCCACGCCCCTCCACTGTACCTCGCCAGACAGTTGTGCGCATGTGCCATGTGGAGTGGCGCGGGGGGTTGTGCAGACGGAGGGGCCCCACGACGCGACAGAGAAAACGAGGGGCGCACACAGGGCGCCGAAAACAGTATACACCCAGTGCAAAAGAAAGAACTTTTCCTCCAAATCGCTCGCACTCGAGGACTGACACCCGCAGCTAGCAATACTCTTCGACGGCTAGAAAGAGATCAGCACATGTCGGTGAACGTGTCCGAGTAGACCAGCTGGCGAATCATCTCGTAGCCCGCGGCGGGCTGGTTCATGGGAACGAGGTGGCCTGAGTTGAGAAAGACGAGGTTCCCAAACTTGCCGGTCGCACGCAGCACGCCCGAGGGGATGCCATTGACGGTCCAAGTGCACGCCGTGGTGTTCGCATACTTGCTCGCGTCCGCCCACTTGCCCTCGTTTGCGACCACGTCCACGGACTGGGCGACACCGAGCGCGTTGCAGCTGCTGCCGTCGTACTGGCCCGCGTACATCAACACCTTGTACTCATTGAACAGCGTCGCTAGCATCTCGTCCGGCAGGTCCGAGATCTGCGGCTCCCACAGGGCGTCGCTCACCTGCGAGACACAAAGCCGAGGGTGCAGCGCTTGTCGCCGAGATCCGCGGCCACTATGGTCGGCTCACGGGGTTGCCCGGCTTGCCGCCATCCTGCTGCACCCATTTGGTCTCGCCGACGTTGAGTGCCTTGCGAACCTCCTCCTTGTTGAGGTACTCGCCTGCTCAACAGCAGCAACGCGTGAGAGGCGCTTCGGGTGCCGGCCGCGAAAAGAGACTGCGCGTGGCTACTCAGCCAGCCACTGAGGGCAGAGAATTCGTCAGCCGGCGATCGGATGTCGTAGATGAACTTGACTGCCTCGCCAAAGACCTTCTCGAGCGCGTCGCACTTGAAGTAGGCGCTCTTCCACAGATCATGAGATGGCACAGGCCGCTCCTTCATCTCGTCAATGGCCTCGAGCTCCTGCGGCGCGGCGGCAGGAGGTAGGTGCGGGCGCTCAAAATGAGCCTAGGGCCTGACCCTGTCCTCGAGAGCACGCGCCTGCTTGCACGCCTTGAGGTTCTTGCGCGCCACTCGCAGCTTCTCCGGATCCGTGTACCCGAGCCCAGTGGCCATCGTCACCATCGCCTCGGTCTGCAGGTAAGGGTATAGCACGCCGTTGCCGATGGCCATGCCGACGAGCGGCATCGCCACCGGTTCGCCTTTCGCCACCAACGCCTTGTTTGTCTCATAGACGTGGTAGCAAAAGTGCGGGATCCACTTGCCAGCAAAGGACTCGCCCGTGACGTACACGTCGGAATCCTTATACTCTGGGTGGATCTTGTAGAACTCTGTCATGCCCTTGAGCAGGTCGGCTGCTGCCTCCTCCATGCTCGCGGCGTACGTCCCGGTCGCGGTGGTCGCGTAGCCGGCCCCCACAGGCTGATCCCACATCATGACGTGCGCGAGCTCGTGCCAGGGTAGGCCGGTCGGAGTAAGCGTGGCGGCGTCCGATTGCAGCTCAAACGGCCCGATCTTCTCAATCAGCCAACCCGTCATGGAGGAGGCGCCCGGCCTGCACACGCGAGGCGAGGCATCGGGGAGGAGGGGCAGGGAGTGGCGGGCGGGGGGCTGACCACTGGGGCGGAGCCGCACCCGCCGTTGAGCCATATTACGATTGGCACCTTGCTCTTTTCCTCCAGGTCGTCCTTCACGCGGCTTGACTCGGCAAACCAGTAGAAGAGCTTGTTGCGCGCGGTGCTGTTGACCGTGACGAGGCCAGCGTACTGCACGGTGTCCAGCGGCGGAGCGCCCGGCAGCGAGGTTACGGCGTCGGGAGGGCGAGCAGCAACGGTTGCGCTTGCTTCAAAGCTCTTTAGCGGGAGCTGGAGCAGCTGGGCCGGGAATGGAAGCAGCTCTGAACCGGCGGCGAAGAGAAGCAGCGCGCCGAGTGCGATGCCACCGAGGGCTAGGGAGGCTGCGCGAGTGGACTTCGCACGATCAGCACTTCCGAGGAGTGGGATATAGGGAGCCGGCCCGTCGGCAGCCATGTGTCGAGTGGATTGGTAGTTATCGGGACGGCCGACGTCGTGGACGGTCGTTGCTCCCCGCCCCACTTGCGCCACGCAGGATGGTTTGGCTCACGGGCGTGTGGGCGGAGGACAAGAGGCACAACCAGCCCATGAACCGCGCCTACTACAGCACCATGAAGGGTTCGGGCGCGATCGCGCCCAATGTCACTCCCCCGGCGCCACCAGGGGCGCCAAAACCATCCTCGCCAAAGCCAAGTTACCAGTCGGCCCTGCACGAAGCCAACACTAGGTCAGCTGGGTTCTACAACGACGCATGGCAGGGTGGGAAAATCATGGGCAACGACTTCTGGCCCATGTGCTAGAATGACGCTTCACTTGCTCGAATTGCCTTCATTCAGCGACTTCACGACGACGGACTCGGACACCCCTGCCTTCTCGGAGTTGTAGGCCTCTTGGTAGGGAGGAGCTTTGATTTCCGGCAGCTTCACCGAGAAGCTTTCGTCCCGTCTCGTGACGCACACTTTGGAGTCTCAGTTTCTCTCGAACTATATTGTTTCGACCAAAACGCAAAAGCAGGGCCTAGGCTCACAACCGCGTGCTCCCTTGCCCAGCGCATCTGCCGAACATGCACACGCTGCTCCCGGCCGCCGAGCCCGCCCTCTTCCTCATGACGGCGGCGGCAGCGGCGCCCGCTAGAATATACTCGCGGCGTCGGCTCCCCTCTTCAGCCCGCGCGCCCCTCGTTGCCCCTCGAGACCGTCGCTCACATATGGCGTGAGCAGAGGTGGAACGCTCGAGGCTGGTGAGCTGTCCCTGTGGCAGCCTCCGTCGCGCGCCCTCAGGGCCGCGCGTGTCGGCGCTGTCAGCGTGCTCGTCGCAAGCCACGAACGTGCCGCAAACCTCGAAGCGGGGGGTTATTTTCGCTTCCGGCACAAGCCACGAACGTGCCGCAAACGTCCGTCTGCTTGAGGTTCTGCACGGAGCAGCAGAGCCGCTCCGGCGTCGGCGCGTCCACCCAGGTCGGGTACCAGCCATCGCTCAGCCGCCTGCAGAACCTCGGAGGCAGGCTGGTGCGCTCCAGAAGGAGCTGTCGCAGCTGCGGCTCGAGCGGCTTGCGCAGCACCAGCAGCACGTCGTACCAACACACGGCCGACCACGAGGGGTCCCATGCCGAGAAGTTCTCCCACAGGCGCCCGTCGCGCGACCACTTTTGGCCTTTGTCGCGGCAGACCTCGAGCGAGTCCCGCCAGTAGCGCCCCGTCGCCCCCACGAGCACCGGCCGCCCTCCGTCGCCCTCGCCCAGCAGGTAGGTGTCGTATCCCCGCCCATCCGCCCACCGTTGCAGCCTGAACAGGGAGGGACCCTCGAGCAGCGCCGGCGTCGGTGCAGCCGGCGTGGCGTCGTTCCTCCGCTTCATCGCGCCCCAAATCGCGGGCGACATCTTGTCGCCGTACTCAAGGAGAATGAAGGGGACCCGCCCCTCGCCGATCGCCTTGTCGGCGCCGCGCAGCACGGCGAGCTCGTGCCCCTCCACATCCACCTTGAGCAGCAGCACCTCTCTGCCGTCAAGCCCGCGCCGCCGCAGCTCGTTGTCGAGAGTAACCGCTCGCACCTCGCGCCCTCGGTCGCTCGCCACGCCGTAGTTTCGCTCGAGCGAGGCGGTGTTGTCGCCCGCGCCGGGGCTGTTGGCGATCTGAATCGACACAGCCAGAATCAAGGGAGCACCGCGTGCGTACGAGGGCTACGGGTGGCAGTGCAAACGGCGGACTGTCGTCCTCGAGTGCTAAATCTTGGAACACGCGCAACCATTTTGACCCGGTGGAGGACCACCAGCCCGACGCGTTCATACGGCTAGCAGAGAGAATTAGCTGTCTTCCGCATGTAGACATGATCGAGAAGAAGCTGTCTTCCGCATCTAGATACAAGCATGATCACCTGGACCGTCCTCTCCGTGTTGCTGAGCGGCGTGTTGCGGAGCACGACCCACGGCTGGCCTATGCGTCAACCAGAATGCATGGGCCGAGGAGCTGGCGGCGGCGACAGGGGCGGCGTGGCTGGAGGCGAGGGCGAGAGCGGTGGCATGCCGGACGGCGGCGGAGGCGAGGGCGGCGGCGGGGCAGGCGCCGTCAGCAGAGGCGACGTTGGCGGTTTGCCCAGCGTCGTCGGCGCAGTCGGTGCAGTCTCGCGCCGGGCGGCCGACCGCCTTGCCGATGAAGTCTTTGAGGCGGCTGAACGGATGCACGCCAGGTTCGAACCCGAGGATCGTCGCCGAGCTCTCGTTCCACAGCGACGCCATCGTCAGAACGTGGGAGATGTCGCCTCCGATCGTGTTGTACGGTGCCGCGCCGACGTCGACGAGGACCGGCGGAGCCGCGGCGCGCCGCCGCCCCAAGCTCAGCTCCGCTTCGCGCAGAGCGTTGATCAGCTTTTCGACATGGAATCCGGCGCCCCAAAATTTGCTACGGCCGTTTGTCAGAAAGTAGGCCGTGTGCGCCCTTGCGATCTGCGCCGTGACGCGCCGGCTGCTGAGGCGCGGGTCGCCGCACGTCGCGGGAGCAGGCTGCATTCTTCGACACAGCACAGACTTCGACACCAGTGCTGTTCAGCGCCCGCAACGTGGCGGCACATGTGTGGCGGTTTCTTTTTCGTGCGCTTCCTCAGGGTTCACTCCTCTTCCTTCAAGGGTGGGCAGCACAGAGTCTTTCCCCTGACTAGCAGTCCTCTAACCTCGCACGCGCGACGAGCCGTCTCTTGGATGCGCATCTACCTAATGAGGCGCTGGCTACTCTGCACGGACGGGTACCCGCCGCACCGCCAAGCGCACTGAGTGGACCTTCTCTTCCCCGACCGCCTTTCGTGACTCTCGCTCGCGCCGCAACTGCTGGTACATGCTGTCGCGCTTCTTGCGCTCCACCCGCGTGTCGATCTGCACGACCGCTTGGATGAGCAGCTCCTGCTGAATCCCGAGCAGCCGCCGGATCCGCTCGCGATGGCGCTTTTGCTTGGCGCGGCCGCGGAAGGAGAGCAGGATGAGCGTGGCCGCCTAGGGGTATGATGCTGCGATGACCACGGGCTCTGGGCGTACTGCGCAAGGTGCGGGCGTCAGATTTGCCCTGCGCCGCCAGCAGCTTCTTGAGCTCATCCGCCTCGGCTGCACTTAACTCAACCCCCTCCGCTTGCTTCATCTTCAGCTCCACGATGCGCTCCTACGAGATTAGAGACCAAAGTCGAAGCGTAAAGGCTACAGCGCAGCAGCTACGGATCAGCACGACCGCCGCGACTCGCCTCCGCTTTTGGCTTGCATGTCCCACTTAATCTGCCTCTCCTGGGCCCTCTTACGCATCCGTGTCTGTGCTGCTGGCGACACACTTCCCACCATGCCGGCAGCCCGAGAAGTCGGCGGCGAATGGTAGGCCCAGGGGGCGCGGTATTGGGATCTGGCCGTACCGCGTACCGCTTCACACCGAGCGCGCCGTACCTCATGTATCGTAGTTTTTGTTAGTATCGAGGTCTCGTGAGTTTTGGTCCTGATAAATTCGTGGCGCCCGCGGCGAGCCGAGCCAGGCCACGGCGCTCGGCCTGTTGAGAGAAGACCTTCCCGGACGGCAGTGACAATTTACCCGACATCAATCGTCGACGGCAAGCTCGAGAACTGCGCCTCCAAAGTCGCCCAGATTCGCCTCTCGCGGCGCGCTGAGTTAGTATCGCCGGTGCGCCAGCTGGCTCTGCTCCACAGCAGGGCATGCCTGACTGGCTCCTGCTAGCCGTGCGTCCTGGTGGCATCCATTGCCAGCTCAGGTAGCCTCAGGAGGTCGCCTCGCGCACGACTCGGCGCCGCACAGCACCGCTCCGCGTTACTACCGAGTTAGTATCGTCGACCCACAGAGGCTGCTTCTCTGTAGGTGGAGCCGACAAACGCCGGCTGGGTCGGCCCCGCCGCCCTCATCGCCGCCGTCGGGGCGGCGGCGGCCTCGGCGGACCATCCGGCGCGCCGCGCGCCCGACGGGGAGGTGTTCACCACTCCTGGCTCCTCACCCCGCCACGCCTTCGTGCAGACGCCGTGGCACCCACCTCAGGCGCCGCTCGGACTCGGTCGACGGCCACCCAAGTGCTTGGCTCGTGCCCAGCCGACCGGCAGGCGATGCCCACTCACTGCTAGGCTAATCTCGGGCCTTCAAGCGGCGGTGTGGTGCCGTGAAGGGCACCGGGACCAAAACTACGATAGTTAGTATCGTGCGGGGGCAGTGCATTAATTCTGTCAAAAATCCAAATCTGCTCCGTGGAACTTATTGGGCTAGGATCATACGTCCGGGAGGCCCCCCTTGCGTGCCGTAACGATCGACAGTGCTGGTACCACTCTCTTCACGTTCACAGGTCGTATCAGGACCATAACTCCGATACATGAGGTACCGATATACCGCTAGGCTCTCCGGCTACCCTGTAGCGAGAAAACAGCGCCGTAGTCAGTCGGGAAGGGTTTTTTGTGTTCGCTCTTGATCCTCGATCAGCGATCATATTTGAGAGATCTTTCTTATACGTACAGTACTCTCTCTCTCTCTCTCTTCTTGTATGGAGAAAATTGTTTAACTTTACTGCATTTAAACAAGCATGAGCAAACGTAAGAGCCCCTCTCCACTCCATCCATAATCAAAGTACGATCCAGGATTGTGCGGCCAACAACATGCTCGGGGTACTCCGCCGGGCGCGCGTAAATGAGCTGCGGCTGCGCCGGTCGCGGCTGCGGCTGCGACTGCGAGACGAGCCGCCGGCCCCCGACGAAGAGTCGCCACCACTCTGTTGCATCCGCGCCGGCTGATAGGGAGACGGCAAGACGCGAGCGGAGCGAGCGAAGCGCTCTGCGCGAATAGGGACGACGAAGCGCGAGCCCGTGACTCCGGCGGGCGAAAGAAGAGAAGGTCCCGGCTCGTACCTAGGTACTACAGAGTACCGCCAGGGGCGATCCCGGACGGACCGCGTACCGCGTACCGCTTCACACCCGCGTGGCCGTACCGATACCGCCTACCGGGCCCCCTGGGCCGAGAATGGCGGCGAGAATTTGAGATGTGGAGAATTAGCCTCAAAAAAGAGAAAAAGCGCTTCAAGTTTGCTTGTGAGGAAGGTGAAGAACAGTCAGGCTCGGACTGGACACCAGCGCGGTACATGGGTGGACGCGAGACAGATGACGACGACACGCTCGAGCGACACACAGACACAAACAAGCTCACACACAAGACACACAGCCAGCTGGGCTGCCACACACCCTGAGTAGGCGTACACATCACTCAGGGCCACGTCCCCCCTGTCGCCCCCCCAGCACTCACGGTGCCAAGGGCTCAAACAACAGCGCACAAACACAGACATGGGAGGCTTCGGGGCGGCCTTCTGGGGAATTGACCCCGTCCGAACGCCAGCCTGGGAGACGAGAAGTAACTTTTTGCCTTGCCTCAATGCCCCGCGGGAGCCCATGCCTCGACCTTCTTGGGCAGCAGCTGGTTCGACAGGTCCTCTCCGTGGCCTAGGCAGCCGTCCTCGCCCTTACCCCACGTGAAGACAGCGCCGTCGTCGGTGGTGGCGATGTTGTGGTATGCTCCAGCCGACATAGCGACGACGCGCTGGTCAGCCAAGGCCTCGACCTTCTTGGGCAGCAGCTGGCTCTGCTGGTCGCCGTGGCCCAACTGGCCAAAGTATCCATCGCCCCAGCTCCAGACGGCGCCGTCGGCGCTGATGGCGAAGCTGTGGTTGCGTCCTGCCGACACAGCGACAAAGCGCTGCCCAGCCAACGCCTCGATCTTCTTCGGTAGCGGCTGGACCTGCTCGTCGCCGTGGCCCAGCTTGCCATAGCCTCCATCGCCCCAGCTCCAGACGGCGCTGTCGGCGGTGAGGGCGAGGCTGTGGTTTTCTCCCGCCGACACGGCGAGGACGCGCCGCCCAGCCAAGGCCTCGACCTTCTTCGGCAGCAGCTGGTTCTGCACGTCGCCGTGGCCCAACCGGCCATAGGCTCCCCAGCCCCAGCTCCAAACAGCGCCGTCAGCGGTGAGGGAGAGGCTGTGGTACTCTCCAGCCGACACAGCGACGACGCGCTGGCCAGCAAAGGCCTCGACGTTCTCGGGCAGCAGCTGGGTCTGCTGGTCGCCGTGGCCCAGCTGGCCATAGGCTCCACTGCCCCAGCTCCAGACAGCACCGCCGGCGGTGAGGGCGAGGCTGTGGTACACTCCAGCCGACACGGCGAGGACGCGCTGGTCAGCAAAGGCTTCGATCTTCTTGGGCAGCAGCTGGTCCTCCTGGTCGCCGTGGCCCAAGCGGCCGTCGCCTCCATAGCCCCAGCTCCAGACGCTGCCGCTGGTGGTGCGGGTGAGGCTGTGAAAGTATCCCGCCGACACGCTCACGGCGCGCTCGCCGCCCAGCGGGGAGGGGAGGCGGGTCGGCGTGTTGAGCCGCATCACGCCCTCGCCGTGGCCAAGGAGGCCCGGGACGTGATTCGACGCAGAGCCGCACGACGACAGCCGCCCCTCGCCGTCGATGAAGACGCTGTGCGTACGGCATGCAGCCGCCCTCACCGGCGAGTTGGACTCGCACAGCAACGCCGAAACGCACAGCCACCGCACGGCGCAGCCCTCGCCCTCGGGCTGCGCCGGCAGCTCGAAGCCGCGCTCTTGCGCCCACAAGTGGATGCCCTGCGCCGCAAGCGAGGCGTGGAAGAGCAGCGAGACGGCCGCGACGCGAGCGATGTCGGCGGGGTCGCAGCGAGAGAGGGCGCGCGCGAGGAGCTCCGTGGGGAGATCGAGGAGGCGGACGGGCGGCGGCGTGCTTGGCGAGGGAGCGGCGGCGGAGGCGGAGGCGAGGCGGCGCGAGCGGCGGCGCGGCGGGGTGGACATCGCTCGCGCGAACAATGTCCCCGCTGGGTGCGCTTCTTAGCTCCCCGGCCCTGGGCGTGCGGTTAATGACCGCAGTCCAAGTGCTCCAAGATGAGTTGGGAACGATCCGCTGTGGAAGAAATCGCTAGAAAAAGAAACGCAGCGCTTAGACTTTCTCGTTGCTCGCTCTGCGGCGCTGAGAAATTCGGCGGGCGGCCCCAACTCGCCTTGGAATGTGTATCACCATTGTATCGCTTATCGGCCGGACTCGGCAGAGACAACGCTCTGACTCCTCTGTACAACTTCTGCCGGCGGTGCCGCGAACCGGACAACTCTCTTCCGATCTGTGAAACTTTTAGGCCACGCCAGAGCCGCCAGTATTAGCAAGCAAAACAAGGAGCACACACGACTTAGCAAGTCCGCACCAGCGACTGCCACTCGCCTACCCTGCCTCGTCACAAGTGCCCTCCCAATCGCGGACAAGCACACACACCCTCCACGCCTGTTCTCACCGCCCACAGACTCCCAGACACACCTCGACCTTCTTGGGCAGCAGCTGGTTCGACAGGTCCTCTCCGTGGCCTAGGCAGCCGTCCTCGCCCTTGCCCCACGTGAAGACAGCGCCGTCGGCGGTGGTGGCGATGTTGTGGTATGCTCCAGCCGACATAGCGACGACGCGCTGGTCAGCCAAGGCCTCGATCTTCTTGGGCAGCAGCTGGCTCTGCTGGTCGCCGTGGCCCAACCGGCCTGAGTCTCCCCAGCCCCAGCTCCAGACGGCGCCGTCGGCGGCGAGGGCGATGCTGTGCGCGGTTCCAGCCGACACAGCGACGACGCGCAGGCCAGCCAACGCCTCGACCTTCTTGGGCAGCAGCTGGTTCTGCTCGTCGCCGTGGCCTAACCGGCCATAGGCTCCATTGCCCCAGCTCCAGACACTGCCGTCGGCGGCGAGGGCGCAGCTGTGCGTCCCTCCCGCCGACACAGCGACGACGCGCCGCCCAGCGAAGGCCTCGATCTTCTTGGGTAGCGGCTGGTTCTGCCGGTCGCCGTGGCCCAGCCTGCCAAAGTTTCCACGGCCCCAGCTCCAGACAGCGCCGTCGGCGGTGAGGGCGATGCTGTGGGTGAATCCCGCCGACACAGCGACGACGCGCTGGTCAGCCAAGGCCTCGATCTTCTTGGGCAGCAGCTGGTCCTGCTCGTCGCCGTGGCCCAACCGGCTGAAGTCTCCATCGCCCCAGCTCCAGACAGCTCCGTCGGAGGTGAGGGCGAGGCTGTACCCGACTCCAGCCGACACAGCGACGACGCGCTGGCCAGCCATGGCCTCGACCTTCTTGGGTAGCAGCTGGTTCTGCTCATCGCCGTGGCCCAGTTCGCCTCCATAGCCCCAGCTCCAGACGCTACCCCCGGCGGCGAGGGCGAGGCTGTGGTATCCTCCAGCCGCCACGCTCACAGCGCGCTCACCCAGCGTCGACAGGAGGCGTGTCGGCGTGTTGAGCCGCGTCACGCCCTCGCCGTGCCCGAGTAGCCCTGGCGTCCAGCTCAAAGCCGAGCCGCACGACGAGAGCCGCCCCTCGCCGTCGATGAAGAGGCTGTGCCGTTGGCCTGCTGCCGCCCTCGCCGGCGAGTTGGACTCGCAGAGCAGCGCAGCGAAGCACAGCCACCGCACGGCGCAGCCCTCGCCCTCGGGCTGCGCCGGCAGCTCGAAGCCGCGCTCTTGCGCCCACAAGCGGATGCCCTCCAGCGCGAGTGAGGCGTGGAAGAGCAGCGAGACGGCCGCGACGCGAGCGATGTCGGAGGGGTCGCAGCGAGAGAGGGCGCGCGCGAGGAGCTCCGTGGGGAGATCGAGGAGGCGGACGGGCGGCGGCGTGCTTGGCGAGGGAGCGGCGGCGGAGGCGGAGGCGAGGCGGCGCGAGCGGCGGCGCGGCGGGGTGGACATCGCTCGCGCGAACAATGTCCCCGCTGGGTGCGCTTCTTAGCTCCCCGGCCCTGGGCGTGCGGTTAATGACCGCAGTCCAAGTGCTCCAAGATGAGTTGGGAACGATCCGCTGTGGAAGAAATCGCTAGAAAAAGAAACGCAGCGCTCAGACTTTCTTTCTCGTTGCTCGCTCTGCGGCGCTAGTTGCGGAGCGGTGCTGGCGGGGGAGGGGGCGGGAAGTCCCGCCACGAACGCCGGCGGGGGGCACGGCGGGAGCGACGGGGGGGGGAGCGGAGGGGATGGAGTCGGAAGATGATGGGGATGGTCCTCTCGGCGAGCACCACGGTGCTCGCGGATTCGACCATCCGCCTTTTGACTGCGAATCCGACGACGGCTTCTGTGAGGACGACGGCTTCTATTAGAAGCCGTCGTCCGCGCTTTGCCTGTTGTGTGAATCGTGCGTGGGCAGTCTCTGTCGGGAGTTACTGTTTGACAAACAAAACGTTCTGTTTGTTTGTTTTTTTGCAGTCGGAGAAGGGGCAACTCCGTGCACTGACGGTCGGCCGTCAGAAACCACGCCTGCGTGGATCGCGTCACACCAATCCTCGCTACCCAACGCGGCCAAAGGATATCCACCTCGAGAACCTCGAGAGAGGCTGTGAACCACGCGCACGAGATTTCACGCCGATGCTCCTGTGCCGCCCCGCTCGCGAGGTCCAGCAGCGCATGCACACGCAGCTGCAGCAGCTCGGATCGACAACCGAGCAAAACACGGCCCTCCTCCAGCATTGCGTGGACCTTTCCTATGACCCGCAAGGCGCCGCCACCCGGCTCGAGGCGCAAGCAGCCGCACGAGCACACACAACATACGACCAGCGACCATGCGACCAACAAACCCTATATGGTCGCCAACCTCTCTCGACGCCGGCTCAGTTCGGACCAAGTTGACGCCGGCTCAGTTCGGAGCGCACGTCTCCTCAGGCGCTGCTCCATGCCGTGAGGTCCGATGTGCTCACGCGGCGAGAGGCGGTCGCGCTGATCTCGGAGCAGCCGGCACCGAGCTCTCGCTCCGCCGAGGCTGTGAGGCTGCGCCGAGCTCACCCCGAGCTCGTCCGAGATAGGAGCTCCTCGAGCTCGACTTCGGCGCTGTGCACGAAGACGAGCAGCTCCTCCTCGTGCACAAGCCCTTCCAGGAGCGCACTCCACATGCCGATACCGTCGAGCGCCCGGCTCTCCACATGCCAGCAAGAATGAGGAGACAGACGCCCACCTTACACAATAGCTCGCGCCGTCCTTCGGTCACCTTAGGTGCGTATGTCGGCGCCGTCGAGGCCAGCGCCGACTCGCGAGGCAGTGTCTGGGAAGCGTCTGGGAGGTGTTTAGGAAGTGTGTGTCTCTAGGCCAGCTGGCGCCGACTCGCCCGACGAGCCGTCGCTGCACGAGTGGCTCGTGGGGACGCACCCGTCCGTCATGACCGCCGCCGGCACCACCCGCGTCTGCCACAACCTCGACTACGCCACTAGCGGCGTGGTCGCTTGTGCAAAGTCCGAGGGCGCGGCGCGCGAAGTCGGCCGTCTCTTCGAGGCGCGGAAGGCGCGGATGCTACGCCGCCTTTGTCGTATCTCGGCTGCATCTCGGACAGCTCGGCCGTATCTCTCGGGGCAGGTGCGGAAGCTGTACGCCGCCCTTGTTTTTGGCCATCCGGCGTGGGAGGAGCGCAACATCTCAGCGCGCATCGCGGTGACGGCCCGCAAGTTCCGTCAGTCCGTCACGAAGGCTTCCTGGGGCAAGGCGCGGCAGTGTACGGGATGGACGAGGGAGGGGCAGGCTGCTCACACAAAAGCACAACCCCGGGCCCGAATCGCACGACAGCACAGACACGCAGACACAATAGCACAGACAGGGTCCCAGGCTGCTCACTCTGCACGTGCACCGGGCCTTGCACGAACGCCGTGCCGGCTCCTGCCCGTGTTCAGGCGTGGAGATGCGAGGGACTAGCCTGGCCCTTGCCCCACCACCTCGTGTGTGGGGGGAGACGCCTACCTGACCTCCCCTTAGGCGGCCACGACGACGGCGACCGTCGCTGCGCGCGGAAGGCTCGTGCTCCTACTGTGTGAATACGTATTCCACGTATTCCAAATGACCTCCAAAAAGGCCGTATTCCAAACGAGGCCCCCAAATGGACGTATTCCGTATAAAATTTTCTTCGCTCCGCGAATTCACACAGTAGGCTCGTGCTGCCGCCGCACCGAGGGAAGGAAGCGTCGCTGCTGTGGCTGACGCCGCTCACGGGGCGGCGCCACCAGTTGCGGCTGCACATGGCGCACATCGGCCACCCCATCGTCGGCGACGTCACGTACGGCGCCGACCGGCGCTCCTACCGCATGTTCCTGCACGCGGCAGCGCTCGAGCTTCCCTCGGCCGGGCTGCTCGGGCAAGGGCGTGCAGGGGCGGACGGCGGCGCCGATGGCGGCGCCGATGGCGGCGGCTCCGGCTGTGCGGACGATGCGTGGGTGAGAGGAGTGGCACCGCTGGCGCCGCGGGGCTGGCACAACGCTTTCACGCCGTCGGAGCCGCTCCGCAGCCCCGCGTTTTGGCCGGGCGCAGTGGGTGAGCTGCTGGGCAGCGGCAGTCAAGGGGCGCTCAAGGGGATCCGAGCCGCTGACAGATGAGAGAGGGGAAATCGCGTGCCCGTGACCCGTGCGACTCGAGATTCTGGGGCACTCTGCTGACGAGGACTGTGCGAGCTGCGACGAACGACGTCGACGATGTGGGTGCGTGTGCCGTGTGGTGTCCTGTCGAGTGTCGTCGGGTGTCGGCTCGGGCTGGGTCGCAACTGGGCTCTGGGGCGTCAACAACTGGCACCTCTCCTGGGACGGAACGCACACCACGCACCGCTTCGGCGACAACGTGCCGCCGCATCTGAAGAGCAAACTCGTCAACAAGGAGCACCCCGAGAACGTCGCCAGGTGGAACGAGATTCTCGCGGAGCGGTGAAGATTCTCGCGGAGCGGTCGGAGCGGTCGGTGAAAGCAATTTAGATCTAGCACCGGGAAAGCATCGGACGAGGATCGCGCGAGCTGTGACCCATGTTACTCTGTCTATCTGTCTCGGGTCAGTCATTTTCTGTCTGTCTGCGTCTGTGTCTGTCTCTGGAGCAGGCGGACATCGCTTCCAGGGGGGGGGGGCGTGCACTAGCATGTGGTGAAGCCTATCTGGGGGGATCGGGACCTTTGTACACCGCGTAGTCTCCACCCGAGACTGGTAGTGGTTGGTACACCGCGTAGTCTCCACCCGAGACCCGACCGGCTCAAACCTGCGGCTGCGCAAAGAAAAAGCAATCCTTTTTACGTCAGTACGGAACACAACTCTCTCTCACAGCAGACAGGCTCGACACAGGCGCGCGGACTGGCCGAAAGAATTCTAACAATTTCACAACTTCCTTACCGCTTACGCTTGTACCCACAATTAATTATACGAATTTGCGGTAACTACTTGGAGTTGGCCCAAGACCTACTGACAATACTGTACTGACTGACGTTGGTCATTGGACTAGGGTCCTCGTTGGACTAGGGTCCGCGCTCGCCGCCGGATCAGGGCGCGCGGAAGTACAGGCGGTACGCGGGAAGCGCCTGCTGCGGTGTTTCGCACACGAGCTCGTCATAGTCCATGACGGTCCCGTCGCGCGCGCCGTCCATGCACTCGTAGTTGTGCGCCGCCGAGACGAACGCGTAGTGCGAGTTGAACTGCGGTTGCAGCGCTCGATCTTTGAGCTTGCTCTTGCTCGTCAGATTGCTGGGTCGCGCGTAGTCGGGCGTGCGGCTCACCGGGTACACCATCCCAGGAGCGACGAACGCGGCGATGAGGACGTGCTCGCCGGCGGAGTTTGGCGGGTTGCGCTGCGACTTGAACTCGCCCGTGGCGTAGCGGCAGGCGTACTCGGCGTAGGTGGTCATGTACAGTCCGCGGCCAAACCATGGCTCGTCGCGGTAGGGCACGACAGCGAAGCCATTCTTGCACACGTTGTCAGCGACCGCGTGCGAGCAGCCGTGCAGCGCGAGCATGATGTTCTGGTTCTGCAGCTTGTCGCGAGGAAGGAAGCGCGCGCGGAGCTGGGCGAACACTGCTGCCTTCTCGCCCGTGCGGTCGCCGCTCGGGTAGTTCGGGTTGAAGGGTCCCGGGGTGGCGCCCGAGGAGCGGCGCGAATCCATCTGCTCGACGAGGTTGTAAAAGGCCTGGCGGTCGCTAGCCGGCACGTCGATCGCCTCGATGCGCGTCAGCGTGAAACCCATCGGCAGCTTCTCCTGAATGGGGCCCGCCCGGCGGCCCCGCCCGCCCTTAGCCCACAGCTCGCGAAGCATCGTCACCTCTGTGCCAAATGGTGAAGGCGGTGCCACCGCAGGCCAAATATCGAGGCCAGAGTAGCAGCGCCGGCGCGCACTCTGGTATTGGCTGTTGAAGTGGGCGAGCGGTCCAGCAGCCACGGACAGCACGGTGCCGCCAGGCGAGCTGCTGTCGACCGTATCGACAAGCCTGTCGATGGCGGACGTCCTCGCCGACTGGGACGCGGCGCTCAGCTGCGCATTTTCTGCCCGAAGTCGCGCATGCGTCTGCTGGGCAGCAGTCAGCTGTTGCTGAAGCCCGTGCTGGCCCTGCTGGGAGGCCCGCGCGCGCCGCTCCGCCTCCTCCCGCTGCGCCTGCTCCTGCTGCGCCCGCTGCTCGGCGCGCTGGCGCGCCCGCTCAGCCTCAGCGAGCTCAGCAGCAGTGGGAAGCGGCGCCACCGCTGCTGGCGGCGGTGGCGGTGGAGGCGCTGGAGCGGTGAGGGCGAAGGCGCCGAGGTCGCCAAGCAAGTGGCGAACAGACACAGAGACGCGGGCGTGGCAAGGGGGGTGGGCGGTGCCAGCTGCAACGAGGGCGGCAAGGCCGCCCGCGCCAAGGATGGCCTGCT